CATTTTTCCATTCTTATCTGAATTGAGTGTCGAAGGATAGAGAATGTTGTAAGCTGTGCAGATTTTAAAGCCCCTTGAGGCAATTTTGCGATTTATGATATTGGGCGATGTGTATGTATATATATATATATATATATATATATATATATATATATAAATGTACTTTACTTGACTAACTATAAAGGGGATAATAATAGAATACCGTACTAGAATCTAGACTAAACTATTAGCCTTAGTTTGAATTAAATCAGTCTAGTCTTGTTTAGTTGATAGTTATAAGCTGTGACTCAAAACAGAACTATTTCCTACTGCTTGATGATTACTAGCTATAATCTAATCTAAACTAATAATCACCAACTGAACTTTTAAGTATCACGTATAAACTAAATATGGACATACACCACAGTACCTACAGTACGTCAAGGCCAGTACATGTCATGCCCATGTCTGCTGGTTGTGACATCCAAAAGCAGAGCAGAGCAGAGTGGGAGGTACTCAGAGGAAAATAATGTATCCATGAAGTGGATTGCTCTGGTATATGTAACACCTCTCTTTAGTCTTTTGTCACTTTCTAAACTTGTTCCTGATGTCAGCTCCTCTTTTCACCCAAGGGGTGAAAGAGCTAGGATGTGTGTGTGTGTGTGGTGCGGTGCGTGCGTGCGTGCGTGCGTGCGTGCGTGTGTGTGTGTGAGAGAGGGAAAGAGAGAGAGGAAGAGGGAAAGAAAGTTAGAGAGATATGATGGTGTGGGAAAATGGTAGTGCCGGGCTAACGGTTTCCTCTGGCCTCAGATGGAAACAGGCATTTGGCCAAATGACTTCATTCCAACGAGCGTTTCACATCCCAGCATCTCTCCTGGCCTGGAGTCACAAAAACACATCATCACTCCACTTACCAAGTACAGTAACTGTGAATAAGCCTTTATACTAACTGACATAGTATACATAGACACTATATACAAGCAACGGGCTGGGAAATAACAAATCTCTATTTTCCTTTTTTGGGTACTTATTTCCTTCTTTAGCACATTCCTGATCAGTTTAAGGTTCCAGGACTAGTTGTTCCCACTCTATTCAAAGTTCTGCAATGTCTGACGCTTGTTCTTTTTGGTGATATATTGATGATTCTCAAGGGAAATCCTTCTGAAAAAACAATCCGGTTGTGTTTCAGTTATCAAAAAGACAGGCCTTCAACCAGGTGAACAGATAAAATCCTTCTCCACTGTGCTGAAATATTCTTCAGCAAAACACTGTCCCTGTCAGCTCCTCTTGTGCACTATTTTGTAGCTGACCGTGACCTCTCTGTGAAGGGAGGTTAGAGAGTAAAGGATTGCAATAAGCACCTTTATAATTGGTTTTGAAATATATAATAAAATCCAAACCAAATCCTGTTGGGCATTGTCTGACAGGTGATGTGTTTGCTTTTATCTTGTTTATGTGATTGGTAAGTTGAGTTCAGTGCACCTCCAGGGTGCAACAGAGAATAGCCTTGCCCTCAGGTCTGCTGCCAGCCACCCTCAGGGATCACACTATGTATACATACCTGGCTGGAAAAAGTCATTCACTCAGCCATGGCATCCTTCAATGCTGCGGAACCTCTCTGGCTGCCTGCCTGTTTAGAAAGAAGGCAGCAGTCCAAGTCCTGCCTGCCCCGGCATACACACACCAGCCCGCCTTTTTATTTTTAAACCAGATGTGTTTTTACTGGGTACAGTTTAGATTCCCCCGATGCTACAAATATGCACTGGGCTGTTCAGACTCCGGGCTGCCAGTTTTCAGTGGGGGGATCGAGTCTTCACTTGTTGGCTGACTGACTGGTTTGCAGGCCTGCTAACTGGCTAGAACCCTTGTTTGATTGTGTATGGTTGGCTGTCACATTGTGGTTTGTAATGAACAAAACATTCTTACCTCTTCACCTCTACTGATTTCACTTTAAGTCCAACCCTACTTTTTACTTTCTCCATAGCACTTTTTTCAGGAAAAGTTTGCTATTTTGATTTGCACACAACTCAACTTTTTTTCTGGTGATGTTTGTAGCCGAAAAGCTAAAGTTAGGTTAGGTAACTGTCAATCTCAGTGGGTGTTTTGCTGGAGGAAAGAGTCACAAAAATGACTAGAATGTAAGTGGAAAGTATCTGTCTACAGTAAGGCTGCGACAGGTTGTTCAGAGACACAAGGTCAAATGTCCTTAAGCAAATCACTGACTTTTGTGGCAGCTTCAGGGTTGCTATGCAACTAGCATCACTGAACTGAATGAGGAGTTGAAAGATGAAGTTAATGCTGTGATTGAAATTGGAATAGCTTCTATTTTGTCCAGACTAATCTCATCATGTCATGTGGTCACCATTGGACCAAATAATAATAATAATAATAATAATAATAATAATAATAATATGGCAAAAATAAACAAAACACAGAAGTAGATATATAACGTGCACGAAGGGCAGGTACCTTCACATATGTCCACTCCATAGGAGAAGTATCCACTTCATATCTCATTGTTCTTAAGAGTTCAGTTCATTGTATAATCAGTGTCACAAACACACTCAAGCTGTTGTTGGTGTGTGTAAACAGTCTATTATAACACTTAACTGCCGTTTCCTTTACTGTGGCCTTAATCTGCATTTTAGTCAGGATCCTTTGTTTCTATTTGAAGTGCTGCTGTCACTGCTCTGCTGTAAAGTCAAGCCATGTAGCCTTCTGTAATTTGTGGCAACACTGGCAATCATTTAAGTTCTGAGCAGAACCTGTGCATGCATATATGTGTGTGTGTGTTTGTCTGTGTGTGTGTGTGTGTGTGTGTACTGGCGCCCTCTGTGACCAGCTAATCTTTCCTCGTCAGCGTGTTTGTTCTCTCTCAGCGGGCTCTGTTTGATATCTGAACACAGCTGTGAGAAAAGAGAAAGCCTGTGTGTACTGTCTGTGCACGCAACTGTGTGTGTGGGATGTTGTCGTGTGCATGTGAGACTTGATGAGTGAAAAAAGAAGCATACGTGTTTGTAATGTGTGCGCATGCAACACTGTTGGCTGATGGATGTACATGTAGGGTCCCAGTTGGTATGTAACTGCCTGTCACTGTGTTTGTAGGAATCCAAAAGTGTATGGTCACAGTAGGCACTTTAAAACACATGTGCACACACACACACACACACACACACACACACACACACACACACACACACACATCACTCCCACCACTCCCAGGGCCTGCACAACAGAGCTCAATGTTTCTCTGGTCTCAGTAGTGTGCTCTGGGACAGTTCAGGCTAGAAACTGAGCTCAGCCCCCTCACCCCCAAAGCATTCTAGGGTAAGGTCGACCTTGCTGGTTGGTTGGGACTCACTTGTCCTCTTCTGTCTTATGTCTTTCATTTGTTTTTAACCTCCTGTCTCTTTGTTCTCCATTTTCTCAGTAACCGCTGTGTATGTGCTGCAGTGTGGTTCAGACTTCTTTTCCACTTTCTATTTGTAGCAGTCTTTGTTTTTGTGACATTGTCTTATAGAGCATAGGTTGGCAGTTTTGAATGTTGTATGGGAAAGGTGGACTGGAAAAATGCGAACCATAAATTGAATCAAAAACTTTGATTGATTCGTTTTTTTTATTAAAATTAAAAATTAAATTAAAAAAATCAGTTGCAGCCGTGTTTTTACTCCAGTGCTATCTTTCCTCAGTTATTATATCTCCCTGCTCTCTCATTCAGTCAGAAGCATAAATATCTACTCGTATTAGTCAAACTCTTCACCTCACACCAGGAATAGTGTACTTCTCAGTATCACACAAATATACTGAACTGTATTAATGAACCAGATGAGAACACACTTTAACAGTGTAGTGTGACTGAAACTCAAGAGTTGACTTGATGGCTCATGGTGGAACAGCATCTTTGTTTCATTCCTTTTTCAGATTAAATGTTGTGGCCTATAGGGACCTGTTTATACTATGTCTGGAGGTTCCTTTGTACAAGTCTTACACAGTCAAGTTTAAAGGGCGTGCTAAAGCCTGTTGATCTGAGCCAGGCTTAACCTGGGTTTACTTGGGTAAAGAGTTAAATGGGAAGAATTAAGGAGGGGAGGAAACGGACTAGAGTAGGAAGAAAGGAAGGAACAAACCATTGAAGGAGAACAGACCATATATATCTTTAAAGACAGTACCATCTATATTCAATTACAGTAGCTTCAGCTCAGTTCAGAAATCACTTGACCCCTAAGAAAAGCCAACCAGACTTTTATAATGAGGGTCCCTGCTGAAGAGCTTGGTCTTGGCAATCTGGCTTTGTTAATGGATTATTAATCTGTTTTTAGTTTACTCAGTTTGTATGAGGGGACACATTCAAAATCAAAGCTCATCATCTTTATCTGTGTGTCGTTGATGGAGTTCATTAAAACACAATGAGCTTCTCTGAGTCTCTGTTAGCTTCACATTCAGAGCTGTCAGTCAAATCTGCATAGCTTTGGCCAAACTGTTGAAGCTTTTGTGTTGCCTGCTAAGGGGGGGTCTTGTGGCTTTTGTAGCTAAAACCAGCTCTCTAACACACACACACACACACACACACACACACACACACACACACACACACACACACACACACACACACACACACACACACACACACACACACACACACACACAGCTGTTGTATAGACATTCAGACCACAGAGGAAGCAGAGCCCCAGCGTTGTGAGTTTTCAGCCAACCACAGATCTCTGTCAGGCACTGTGGGTGTGTTTGAGTTGGTGTCAGTGTGACTGTGACTTCTGAAGGCTGAAAACAGACCAAAGTTAGATCTTTCCAAACAGTTCCTCTAGAGATGGAGCTGGAGCGTAGCGACGAAATCCGATGAATACTCTTAAGTCTGCTGTTATAAAGAGCGTCTTATCGTCGCCTTCCATCCTGTGTACCGAGCAACACTTCCTAACTGACACGCTGGTCTGCATCATTATTTCTTTGTGGGTGATGATCACATGTTGCTGAGGCTGATTCAGTGTCTTCCTGTTCCTCTGTAGATCCACCGAGACAGAGAGGCGTCGTTCCATCTGCCCTGCAACGCTCAACACTCAGGTAAGAGTTACTGTCTGCCGATCAAACCTTTCTGGTCAGAATGGGATGTGAATTCAAATGGCTGTTTTTTTTTTTTTCCATTGAAGAGGATTTATGTGTATTGCTGTAAGCTACACTTCTATCCCATTACATGTAGAAGAGGGTCATTAATGCATCAGTGTTTATGCTGAAAGATGCTGTATCATTTGTCCTATGAAGCCTGTTTGTTTAAAGTGATAGCAAATAGATGAGGTGACTTTTCAAACAGTCTGGTTGAAGTGACACAAATCACTGTTTGAGCCTCAGCCTTTAGACAATACTGTAAAAACATAGCAACCTCTGACATTTCTTTTCTACTCAAAAGAGGAAATTGATCAGACATCATTTAACTAGTCTGAAGTGCCAAGACACTGACCAAAGTTAGACTTAGCAGCCAGATACTGGTATTTTTGGAGTAAAGCCACTGATAGTATTGTGGTGTTTTTTTTTTGGCCAGTTTCATGACAAATAATTTCAAGAATTCAATAATTCACTCTCGAGTAAATTTGGGGTTTTGTCCAAGAGGAACATTTCTGAAACATCACATAAACCATCATTCTCTAAAACACAGACATATACTAAAAACATGATGTCAGTGGTAATTAATGTTAATAGCTAACACAAAGCTGATAACTGTTGTTCGTGTATAACTTTAAGGCCTTCTTTTTAACCAACACTTGGTCTAAAGTTGTTGGTAATAGAACTTGACTGAATATTTTCAAATAGTTGTGGGGGGTGCTCAGAGACTACTCGCTGTGGTGGTGTACTTAAGAGTACCTCTTTTAAAAAATATCATATATATAACCAGATTAGGGAAGTTGGCTAAAACAAGCTTTTGCGTGTATGAATCAATGAGTTACAGTTTGTGTTGTTTTTGACCCTTTTGGACGCAGTTGTTTGTATGTAACAGCATGCAGACAAGGACGTGGATGCACGCCACAAGCATGGAGATGATGTGATGCATATTTCTGCCAGTTGCACAGGGTGGTAACAGTTGGTGGTTTTCCAGTTGACCCTTTTTGTATTCCAGTTGACCCTGCAGCGTTTTTGGAAGTGACCAACTGAGCTAATTAACATTAGTGACGTGGTGTCTCAGAGAAACTGTAAGATAGACTGTTGAAACCTGGTGGTAAGAGACATGCTGTTAGCTCAGCAGCAGTGTTTAATCTAATTTGTGTCTGTGTTATCTTTTGTAAGTGTGAATGTTTTTTCTCAAAAAGACTAAGACTCTATATCCAAGCTGGCAGCTCTCACGTCGCTATTGTTCGCTTACCTGTCATTGCAAAAAAACTGTTGATTATTGCCATTGCAGCTGTGGACATACTTCAGTCAGTATATGGGGAATGAGAAATCTTAATCTGAAAAATTTTAGATGTTGACTTATATGTGTACGTAGCAAGATAAGAAAAGAAGGATTGTTTGACCTCCATAAGATGAGTCTGTCTGCTGAGAGACCAGTCTCAATAAAAAAGACCAACAGATCGATGAGCTGGATCAGGCTGAGAACAAACTGCCTTTTATCTGTGGTGGAAAACAGATGAAACATCAGTCTGCCAGATAGGGAAAGAGAGAAAAGGGGTTTTAAAGGATGAGATGAAGACATTCAGAGGGAAAGAAAGCGATCACAAAGATGGAAAGAGTAATAATAATGATAAAGAAAGGAAAAAAGTGTCAAACGGAAATAAAATGGAAGTGTGGGATTTCCTTTGTAGCAGCTCAGACAAGTCGACCTCACTTTCTTTTTGCTGGAAATATCTGTCTCTCTCCCTCTCTAAACTCATCCAACTTCTGGTTATTTATTTAGTCAGGTTAGCAATGGACAATAGCAACAGGAGCCACCATACACTCATACCAGCTTCATAGAATGAACTATAATGCCAAATGCCTGCTAAACTAATGGCATTCACATCAGCCTCACTTGTACTGTGTGTTGTGATGGTGATCATAATGAACACAATACCTGCTTAGCATCAGCATGTTAGCATTGTCATTATGAGCATTTAAGCTTGCTAACATTAGCACTAGATCAAAATGCTGCTGTGTCTAAGTACAGCCTCACAGAGCTGCTATGGCTGTAGACTTTGTCTTATTATCATGTAAGGAATAGTATATCAGTGAGTGAGGGACTGATTACACACATGGCTCAAAACTCAGAGGACTCCAAATAACACTTGGTTATAGAATAGAATAAAATCTACATGATAATTGTGATTAGTAAACCAGACTGGTTTGTCAGTGCCAAAGGTCAGTGCAAATGGGTTGACAAAGGAAAATTGACTTGCAAAACCAGCCAGGTCAATGTCAGGGTTGAGACCTCAGAGATAATCTGCTCTGTTGAGGGTAACAAGTATCAGTCAGTGTTAAACAATATTGTGTGGCCAGTTCCTTCTTGGATGTTTTATATGTATATGTTAAAATCAAAAGCAAATTCTACTAAAAATAAAGTGCTGTATTGTACAAAGTTTGGATTTACAAAGCTATATAAAGCTAATATATATATGTATAAAGAGAGATACAAATCTATAAGCTCACAAAAAAACAACCAAAGCTTCTTCACGTGTACAGAACATGCTGTGTGTTGTCTGTCTGTGGTGTATGATTGACCTGGGTCTGGATCCCATAATATGGCTGGTTAATGTGTTTTTGTAAGGCCACAGTTTGGTATCTTGCCTGGCTGCCTGTGGTTTGCTAGCCTATGTTGAGAGTCATGCTGCTGCTTTAAAGTGTTGTTTGTAATGTTGCATGATATTGCATTTATCATAGGGGAAGCCAAGTCCTGTTTAGCTCTACTCAATTTACTAACCCTTATTTATATAGGTGGAGACACGCTGGGTGTGCCTTTAAAAATAATACAGTGAAAAGGAAAAAAACAAGATATAGGAGTAAATGGTGGTTGTTACATGAATCAAAGTGAAGGTTTAAATTACAGTTTGGTTAAGTAGTGTACTCTCTAAAACGTGTGCAAGGATGACAGCAGAGGATATACTTTTATTTTAGTTGAAAAATGGGAGGCTGTACTGTATTTCAGCAGAACTTTTCATTATGCATTTAACTCGTTTGAACATCTTTGGTTTAATTTTGTGTGTTGCTCAAACAGCAGCATTGAACAGCAGATGGTAGGGTGATAACTGATCATGAGCTGATTCAGTTTAAATAGTTACAACAACCACACAGCACACCAGGTTGCTCTGCTTTGAGGGCTTCAGCAAAAACCACAAGTTGTTTGAAACAGCTCGACTCGAGGTGCTTTTCTGGATTTCATTTTCCACTCCAGATAGTAACACCTCAATATAGGCGGGGTTCTTAGCTGATGGTCTTAGCAACGGTGCAGGAAATGGCTGTTGACATTTCAGTGGGACACAAACACAAGAGGATGCAGGATGTCCTACATCATGCATGTGGTGATTCTAGTGACAATTCTTTCTGACCAGTCGGTGGCTGCAGTGTTTTAAGTGCTCTGCTTGACCGAGGTGATAGCACAAAAATATCCACAAATTGTGCTAGCGTAAAACCAAAAAAGAGCAGCTTCAGGTGAGCCAAACTGAGCCGAGGCGATTCATACTTTACAGTGGCAATGAGGCATTTGTGTTGTTCAGACCTCAAAGTGCATCCAGTGTGGGCAGTGGTTACGCTTTTGTGTAGAGTGACTGACTCTAGAGGCTGTTGTCATGCAAAAATCTTCTTTTGCACAAAAAAAAAGTCATGTTCTTAAAAAACAAATGAAAAGAAAATATAAGGGTATTTGGGGAAAAAAATAAGGTTTCATCTGTAAGTGCTGATAGAATCTGCACTTAGGGAAAACACCTAAGGTAGCCTCAGTGGTGACTTATCTCTACGAACAGTATGAAAATGTGCAGAGACAGGGAGGTACGATGTATACTTTATCTTGTCGTTTTTTTCTTACCACATTGATTTAGACTGGATGATTTGTTTGGATCATATCTACGTTGCAATTTTTCTTATGCCGCATTCATCTACCAACACACATTGTCCCTCCTGAGTTTAGCGTTGCTTCCCTTTTCTTTGATTTTTATTATACATTCTTAACTGCATTAAAAACCAAACAGTAACTGTTTAAAACAATAGTTGATTGACATGAATAGGTACAGCATTAGCATGCCGTTTTATTTCCTCCAACTACACTATCTGGGTAATATGGTTTTTCCCCCTTTTACTATTGCTTGCTTGTGCTGGTGGTATTCTAAAAAAATGTAATCTTCTTCTGTGCTGACCCAAAATATGTTGTATAGTAGTCAATGTAATGTCTACAGGTGTGTGAACTGATTCACGTTCAGCCAACAACCTCAACCACCCACTGACTCATCAGGGGGCTTTACACCTGTTCTGTGTGGGTCTGTGTTCCGTTCTGTTTGAAAGAAAGGGACGAAGACAGCTGTCAAACCTCACAGTCCCCTGCTAGTTTTGGTGGACAGGTGTGAGGGGGTGGAGTCCGAGAAAAACTCCCAGCATCCACTTCTGTCACCACCACTTACTACTCCCCCAACACACACACACACACACACACGCATATCACACACATTTCACATTTACATTTTGAGACTCCATTCATGTTGGGCTTGTGATCTTAGATATGTGAAGAACAACGGGTAAAAGGTTTTTGCATCAATTTCCAAAACCACCTTGGTCAGGGTTAAGCGCTGCTGCAACACTGGGGGTCAAAGGTCAGTGTAGTTTTCGTGTTTGGAGTGTTGTATCTTGAATATTGTACACTAAGCCTGCTTTTGACGATGTTTTGAGGGGACCTTCTATATAATATATTTACTGTTTAGAATTTTGCTCAGTGATTATTTGACTGGTAGAAGTGTAGTTCCAGCAATCAAACTTGTGACCCGTCTACTGCAGTGATACCTTTTCCTAAGAGAAGGAAACAGAAATAATCCTGTATTGTAGCCACCTCCCCCTGCTGCTGGATTCTTTTAGCTGTACATTGCAGAATGAAAATATGGAGATTCATTTCTTGAATAAGATTTAAGCCACTGACACCTCTGATTACAAAATTCTGATTTGGAATTGAATATTAGTTATTTTCTTTGCTCTTTCAGGCCATGTAAAAATGATTGAAAGTCTATTGCTTAGGCTTAGCAGTCTCTCAGTCACGACTTAGTAAGTAGGCCACCCTGTCAAACCTATGTTTTCATGCAATTGCCTGTGTGTGTGTGTGTGTGTGTGTGTGTGTGTGTGTGTGTGTGTGTGTGTGAGTGTGAGTGGTCAGTAGTAGGCAGTCAATCAGTGGGAGGAAGTCTGTGACTGTGCCTCCCGTTTGCTCGTTTGTTGTTGCAGGGTAACAGACTCTTGCTAAAATGAAGGGCTGTGTCACTGACCACTCCCACTGTAACCCTTTGTCCCATCTCCGACCCCCTCATGGCCCCTTCCTCTGAGCAGCTGACTGTTCAGCTTCAGGATTCCTAGAGTACCCACTAGCTATAGCCAGACACAAACTGAATTTAATGTCTGCCATTGAGGCAAACCCACATTCTGTAACACCATTCATTATTAATTGTAGACATTTTCACACAGAATTCAGGTCCTTCTGGGATGAACACTAGCACACATGCACATAAGGGACTTCCTCTTGCTCATATGAGCACAGGGAAAATGTTCCTAAGGGATAAAGAATAACTTCCGCTTTTTGAGGCAGAAATAGACATCAGAAATGATGCAAAATAACAAACTCAGCGAATGATCTCATCCAGTTGTTCTTGGCCTCTGGCTAAAGTAAGCCTACTGTTGTACATCTGTACTGTAGTTGGGTATAGTCTTCCTCTTTTAGTTTGGTCTGGAACTTTATCTGTACATGTCCTTACATGTACAAAACACTGCAGCCCCACGGTGCTGTTGCATAAGAAATGTTGTACTGTGTGCAGACTCTAGGGTGGATTACTTGTTATTCAACTAGGGCGCCTGAAAAAGCATCTCAGATAGTGTGTTTAACCCAGAAATGGCTCATGGTGGGTTGCTGTTTTATACCTGCTATGGTTAAAGAGCACTGGGATTTGATGAGGAGTACTGAACTAGGATCTTAAGCCAAGGGTTCAAAGTGAGAGCAATGGTTTAAAGTTGTTTTTATGTCTTGAACATATTTAATGTGATTCATTGCTGGCTATGATTCAGGTGGGGAAGTGGTGAGTACACATCGATGTGGCTGAGGTTTGCAGACACTGGGCTTGAATCTGGCTGCACAATATGTGTACTGCTACTGACCAAACAACTGTTTACTGAAGTGAAATTACTTTCTAACTTTAAAGCTAATACAAAATACTGCAGAAAGTCTTTTAAGTTTCTGTAAACACGTGTCCAGTTGGCCCCAGGGTGACTAATGGTATATGTGATGCTGCTCTGTAATGAAAGCAGTTTCACAGTACATCAATAACATTTTCTGTTGTAATTTTCTCTGAGTGAGATTTTAACTTCACTTCTGGCCTGAGACCTTTTAATCACACAAACAGCAGTTGTTTGCCTTTGCAGTTCAGCACAGACGGCTTTAGTCAGGACAGTCGGCCATTGATCCACCAGGCTTTTCACACCTTCTCAGATTCCCAGAAGTCTTTTCACTGATGTCTAACAGACCTGTTTTATAGGAGGGAATGAAAGCATATTATTTTGGAAACATGGTGCTTTTCAGTACAACAAGGTAATGCTCTTGTTGGGAAAATGTGAAACTCTATGGAATCTAACTTTAATCAAACTGTACCAGAATATTTTCCTGATTAAAATGTCAAGATTTCCCCTGGCACCTTCATATTTCTGGTAGCTCAAGTTAAACAGTTTTTCAACTTGCCGAAGTTCATTTTTTAAACATTGCTGTTGTGTCTTTCAGGATCCTCACAGTCTTCAGCATCTCCCAGTTTGCCCAGTAGAACCAGCAGTGCCACCAGCTGTCCCTCCGCAGCTCACAGAGACTCTGGCAGCGACATAGAAAGCCTACTGAATGCAGAGCCGGGATATGACAGCATCTTCAGAAAGGTCAGACTCACTGCTGTCTCTTTGTCACACAATCCAACTCATGAAATTCGCTGCTGAGGTGTTCATAAACAATCTGAATCTGAAATTGTAAGCGTGTTTTTAGGTGGAGCAGAGTGGTGGCTCAAATCCCTGTACCAAGTGGGAACAGTTGGGGGGCAGAAATAAACTAGAACTAAAAATCTAAAATAAAACATTAAATATTAAAAGTGACAACAAAAAACACAATTCTTATGTATGGCTGTGTTAACCATCTTGTTACTGAACCAAACTGCAAAACAATCAATAATAACATGGAAATATAATAGAAAAGGTATTAAATTTGATTTAAGTGAATTCAGGGTTCAACAACATTCACACAATCCTCTACTGGCTACCGTCCAAACATCCTGTTCACTCATGCCAAACAGCAAGAATATACTGTTTGCCCCTGCAGCTTGTCCTATAGGGATTATACAGTATATATGAAGCAGCTATTTTGTCAGTCTGTGCTTGGCTTTTTATTTATCAGCAGCCTGAGGCTGAGATGCCAAGCATCTACTAAGCATCTTTTTAAGCCAGCAGCTCTATACTGCTGCTGGGGAAGTGCAAGCTGTGGTCCCTGCTGTCACTAGGCTGATGTTGAAAGTCTGTTTGAAGCCAGGCGCCCTTTGGTTAAAGTTGAAATACTTGTATCTCTCAGTTTCTGCAGCATTGAACACTTGAAACATGCTCATGGTAATGTGAACCGAGTGTCCTTTTTGTTGTAAACAACAATGGAAAAGTCAGTGCGGAGAATATCAGCTGCCTGAGAGTGTACAGTATGACACTGAGGGTTAGGACACTGTAGATAGACAGAGACAGGCAAAATGTACCATGACGTCCACAGGCTTTGATTCCACACAAAGACCAAAGCGGCTAAATTCAACTTCAGTAAGAGAGGATTAATGTCTTCACTGCTCTCTGAAGGGAAATTGTCTTCTCTTGTGCACAATACAATACTGTACATTTTCTACTAGCTGTAGAACAATTGGTAGAGAAACTGTTTTATAACTCTACGGTCAAGGAGTTGATCATTGCAGCTGAGCATGTGTCATATCCATATGCCCTTGAGCAAGACATTGTTACTTAAAATTAATTGTAATGTAAACGGATAAGAACATCATCTGAAAACCTAATATATATAATAAAGTTAAAGATTCAGCTGACTCATGCTTTATCCTAGCTTTAAAGCTTATGTCACATGACTCATAAGCATACACTGCAGTCACATGCACTCTGAATGTATATACACACACACACACACACACACACACACACACACACACACACACACACACACACACACACACACAAACTCATGCATCCTCTCGCTCCCAGAGGAAGTCATGTCCGCAGCATAAAGCAGATCTTTGATTCCCAACTCTCCAACAGAAGAAGCTCTATGCTCGGCTCTCACACTGCAGCTGGCAGCACAATAGGCCCAGCTAAAGCTCACACCTACAAATTAGCTCTAAATGGACTATCCCATACCTGTGTGTGTGTGTGTGTGTGTGTGTGTGTGTGTGTGTGTGTGTGTGTGTGTGTGTGTGTGTGTGTGTGTGTGTGTGTGTGTGTGTGTGTGTGTGTGTGTGTGTGTGTGTGTGTACATTCAGAGTGCATGTGACTGCAGTGTATGCTTATGAGTGTGTGTGTGTAGGAGCTCTTTCCCATCAGACCCAGGCAAAAGAGTATTTACCAATACAATTTGTTTCCTGGTGCTATTCACTGCTCATGTTACAGAGCTGTCAGAGAGGTAAGACTGGTCAAGGACAATAAAGGGTAGTTGGATACTTCTGGACTTCTTCACCATCAATATAGCATTTTATCATCTGCAAAGCTGCATGTTAGTTGATGAATATATGTATATATATATACGGCATATTTGTCTACTTCTAACAACTGTCTTGCTTTGAATCACTAAGACAGTCCTGTAACAATAATGAATAAAACTTGAAAAGACTGTATATAATTTGGAAACATTTTCCTGGGAAAATTTTGTCTTCACAAGGTTGCCATCGTTTATTGGTGTTTGTTTTAATGTCAGTGTTGCTACAAAGTGGCTCCGGCTCATTATCCTTAAGCCTTGCCATTTGGTCCTCATTATATCCCATTCCTGTGGGTTAAATAGCTCTCCAGCATTCTCTTAATTCATTGCATGCTTCAGTGAAGAAATGCTGATGGATATACAACGTGACAGTCTAGGTAATTAACAATAATTAATAAGGACATCTATGCTGCTCTATTCTGTCACATAGATTCTTCATCTATGTGAAGATAGAATAGTGACATTTGCTTATAGATTTAAAATATTCCCCTGTAGCTGGATGGTTCCACTTCCTGTGCGGCTCTGTGAGCAGAGCAAGGCACTGAGACCGGACTATATGAACTACTTTGCACTCCTTGATTAAATGTGGAATGGAAGTGAAAAAAACTATTTTTTACACAATTCTGGTCTGAGAAATAATATATCTACATTTCAGTAGAGTTTGGCATCGAGTTCACTCATTTTTTAATTAATGAAGCTGTTCTTGTGGCTCATGATAAACTATCACTTTTAGGTGCAGTTTCTTTTAGTTTGACCGTACTCCATAGGGACGTGATGCTGTGCAGTAAGGCTTTTAAATAAAAATATATTTCTTGGATGTCTGCAGAACGATGAACCAGTGACAGGAGGAGACAGTGCCAGCGAGGTTTCCGTCTCCTGTTCCTCCACAGACGACACCACCAGTGTTGGTCCATCCAGTTCTAGTCCTGAGGGCAGCCAGGGCCTGGAATGCAGCTGGAGCCCAGAGGAGGGCATCCAGACTGGGGATACTATCACTGCTGGACTAGACAGTGGTGGTGGAGAGGGAGGAGGAGGAGGAGCGGGAGAAGCTGAAGAAGAGGCCAAAGACAGAGTGACGGAGGTGCTGCGGCGCTCCTGTCTCCTCCGGAACAGTATCCGCTCCCTGTCGCCTCTTCGCCGTCACAGCTGGGGTCCTGGAAAGAACAACGGAGGAGACGCAGAGATGAACCAGAGGAGGTGAGACTGTATAAAATAAATAAGATGACATTGTGGATGGAGTTGAACTGATTGTGAGATAGGACTGTCTCTTTTGTTCTTGACGCTGGCTGCTGGTGGTAGATGTCAGTAGGCCTGATGTGTGCCAATGTCAGTGTTATTAGAGCTTGTTGATGTCACTCCCTCTGTGCCGTGTTGAGCGTTTCCTCCTCCTGCGGCAAGCAGCTGTGTTGCCATTTTGTCTGTTGTTGGTAGGGAGCTACCGAATGTTGTACACACACACACATATGCATTCACACAAAAACACACGCCTAAACTTCAACACACCCGTTCACACTCACAGCAGCATTTAAGGTAGTCATCAGGTTAACGTGTGCTAGTTCCCACTCGTATTGAGACAGCAGCAATGAGGAACACATTAAGAACCCAACCTTGACATCCATTTTGTCTCGTGTGCTAGAACAGCGGCCTGTCACAGACTGACCCGGCCATGATGTTGGAGTGAAAACAGAAAAACAACAACTTTAGATTTCAATCAGCTGCTATTTTTATGATATCCAGGTTGGGCAGAAATATCCATTAAATAGCACAAGCTTTCATCTTTAGTCTTTCTTCACAGCATAACTAATGACAGAAAGAAGAAGAAGTCTTTTATAGATAAACATGAGACACCTGGAGCACATAAGAAGCATGGAAAGTGATTAAGACAAAACATTGCTGCTAAACGTGCGTGCTGTGTGAAGCATAAGGACTGTGAAATGTCTGTGACTGTAGAAGTATCTTGTGCATGTGGAGCAATAGGAAAATGGATGTAACAAGAGTTGATTAGTGAGACTTCCTGCCATATTTGCCCCCTTCTGCTGTTCAGTCACATTTTAAATGAATAGTTTAACATTTTGGGAAATATTATTACTATTGCTTTTTTTGCCAAGAGTCAGATGAGAGGATGGTTTAGCTTAGCGTAAAGATTGGAAAAGGGGCAGCAGCTGGTCTGGTTATGTTATAGAACAAAATCCACCGGCCCATGCCTCTAACAATCCCTAATTTACATGATTTATATTCTGTGCAAAAACTGTAAAAATGACAATTTGGGGTTTTTACTTTGTTTTTTTAAATTAGTGACCTTTTAGATGTGCTGGGAAGTGGATTTTGTTGCCTATGAACAGAGCCATTCTAGCCTTTGTGCTAAGCTAAGATAACAGTCTCCTGGCTCCAGCTTCATATTTAATGGACAGATATGAGAGCGGCATCAATATAATAATCTAACTCTCTGCAAGAAAGCAAATAAGTAGATATCCCAATATGTCAAACTATTCCCTTGAAGATCATTGTTCTCCCCCCCCCCCCCCCTCCCAAGATGATGGCACATTCCTCAGAGCTTCAACACATACAATAGTGCCCATAGATATCCAACCTACTAAAAACATTATGATCCCGTCAGCCAATAATAGAGGGCATTCATTCATTATGTTCTTATTGACATGCCATCCCCTCATCTCAACCATCATCCATTTCCTGTCTGTCTCCTCCATCGCCTCCAGTTCCATCCGTAGTCCTGGTGAGGGGAAGCTGACCTTTCACAGGAGAAGGTACTAATAAATCACATTCATCAGTTCATGTATTGTGAAGATTGACTTGTTGCAAGGTGACGTGCAATGGCAAATAGATGTACAGACAGTGTAGCCTTTTTTGATCTGACCACTTTTTAATGTATGCTTGCTGAACTACTGCTGCATTGTGCTCCGTCCCTGCAGGCAACTGCGCAGAAAAATGTTGCTCTCTCTTCACCCGTCAGAGTGGGCAAGGAATACTGTGGCAAATAGATGGTTGAGACACACTGCTGTTTTGTATTGCAGTGGTAATAACAAGCACCCACACAGAAAGAGGGGAGTTCAGCTCTGGAGACTCAGAGGACTGTATTGGTGAGAGATTTAGAACAGAGGATTTTATTCATTTATTTTTTTTATTTATTGGCGTAATAAGTTCCTGTAAGGTATTTTCAAGACTGTAAATGCACCAAAGAAGCTTTTAATTCATCCCTGGAGAAGACGGTGTGCCACAGCAGTAAAAACAGGATGGGAATTGCATTATGCCGAATTGTGTTAGATGCAAGAGGAACGGCTTTGTTGACCGTGTGATAAAACTGCACATTGACCCAAAAGAACCAGGAAGGAGGCAGGGGGAGTCAGGTGTGGAGTCAAGAACCATGCATCATTCACTGTCAAGTGATTTTGTGTAGTCCACCTAAGTGTAGGTGTTTCCGTTTTTAAGCTTTCTCATAAAGGCTATCTAATATGTCTTGCAACAGCTGTAACTAGTGTAAGCATCTTCTCTCAAGTAGGCTTTTTCAGTTGGTGTTGATGATAGCGGTCACTAGTGTAGGGTAGTGTAATCCAGTTTGTTGGGATGGGCTGATATACTGTAGGCTATGCAGTATATGGTATGACTTCAGTGAAGTTTCCTGATCCAGACCAGAATGACATGATGGGGAAGAGCTTGATGTAGTGTAGACAGCATTAATAATTTCACTGTACTCTGTCAGTGTGTCAGTGGGTTGCACTGGACTGTAGATGGGTTTTGAGGGCAGACAGGCCAGTTAGTATATTAAATATTTTTACCTGGTTCTTTAGTAACATTTTGATGCACATTCACAGACATAATTACTTTTTAGTTTTAATTTGTACTTTTATAGTACAGCTATATGTGTAATAAGCTAATAATGGCCGATAAGATCAGCGCCCCCCCTCCTCCTTCCTGTATAGATAAATATGGCTTTTTCTAGGGTAACAAAAACACGATTCTTATTTTCAGGTGATTATACACTAATGGAAACATAGTTATGCATAATATGTTCTATTACTGCTAGTAGATCCTCCTTAATTCTACACATCGGACTTTAATGGTACCTAGGCTATTCTGACAGTATTGCCTTTCTGGGAAACTGCTTGGGTTCAGCAGGAAATTAACTTGTACCCATTTACACTGTTTGTGTTTCACAATGTGAAATGGTCTTCTATATGTAGTCAGAGCACTAGTCTACTTATGTCAGAACATCTCTCTCTTCAGACATCCCTGTAATGGAGTCCTTGTCACATCCTCCTCTATCTGCTTCGCTGTTACTCTGCTTCACTCTCTTCCCATCACTACTCTTTATCTCCAGCTCCATTCCTCCCCTGACTCACCCCTGTGCCTCACACTCTGTTAGCATCAGCTGGTGCCCTTCTGATGCTCCCCACAGCCACGGTGTGGAAGTAGTTAGTTCCCTCAGGTACAGTGTATTTGTGTGTGTGTGAGCACATGACCTACTTTGAATAGGCGTATTTACATGCTGCTTGATTTTCATTTGCCGTTTTTTAAGGGCATGTATGCATGTGTTTTTATGTGTGTATGAATGCCCTGGCAAGTCAGTCTGTCAGTCAGTAGCTTCCTACAGCAGAGAGCTGCAACAGCTGCTGGTGTTATTCATGTTTCAGTACTGAGGACCTTGTGGCTCTGTAGGATAGTATGTAATAACACTGGCAGGAAGCAGGACTTAATATGACAGATATAGTCATCTGCATTCACAGCCCTGAGGAGGATAGGTGAGTGCTACTGTACGCTGGTCACTGATAATCACCAAGTCATGATTCTTTTGGTCCACTGTAGGCTAGTGATGTTTGAATGTGTTGGACTGATGATTTGCTGGATAATGGAGTGCCATGCAAAGCCAAGGGCTGGAGATAAGAGAGATTTACTGCTGGAGCTTTAACTATCACACAGTCTGTCCTGAAGCGAATAGAGCTGCAGCCGCGTAGCATAGCTCATCCTGAAATGTAGCTGTAGTTTTCCTCTCCATAATCATTGTATTGGATTTTTCAAGGCCTCTTATTTCCAGTCATAGATCGATGTAATTGGGTTTGTAAATCACAGCTGCAGAGCTCTCTATGCTGATGCTGATGTTGGAAGTCATTTGACGCTGCTTCAGCTGTAAATCTGCTCCTGAGCCCAGTGATAACTCAGCTGGCTAAACACTGTGCAGGACCAGCTGTGTGTGTGTGTGTGTGTGTGTGTGTCTATCAACAGGTGCATGTGTGCATCTCTGTGTGTGTTTGTGTTCTATGCAGCAATAAGCTGTGTGTAACCTGAAGGCTGTGATGAATAGTCCATAGAGACCAGTGGAGTATATGTGTACGGTAGAGTCATTCTTCCTTCTTTGAGGTCACCTCTGACTTGTGTTTGTCCAAACAGCTACAGCCTGGAGGGGCTCAGTGGGGGCCAGGAAGAGCTGAGGGGCCCCACCATCCAGGGGCCCCGAATCCTGGAGCCTTCAAGGATGCCTCGGCATGACAGCGATGACAGGGGATCCCTGGTTTCTCTGACGGAGGAGCAGGAGGAGCTGGGCGAGCACAGCAGACTACATGACCTGGTCAGCTAACCAACACACACACACACACCATTATGTTTGTGCTTTAGATGTTATGTCTACATACTGTCACTTAGCCCTGAGGAATCCACAAAAACACCCTCAGCCTAATTCTCGTAAACGAAAAAATTGCTCGTACATAAACAAGACTTCTAAACAGGGGAACTTTGAGACATGTCAGTTTGGGTATTAATTAGAATTGATAAACATCACTTTACTCATGTGGCTTATGTCCGTTCTCATAGAATTAAAACAAGTCATTTGTGTAGTTTCCCTTTTAAGTTTAGCGTTCCTGTTTCCATTTTAGTTACTGGTAAGGTTTTTGTTCCACGTTATCTGCCTGCTTTAGTGTACTTTTATACATTGTCATGCATTGTGATTGACTTGTTGTGTGTCATGATCCAGAAATCAAGGCGATATCGGCCTCTGCGAAACAGCTGTTCTCCCATGACCCTGCCCCTCACCAAGTCTGTTTCCATGCTCGCCATCAGCCAGAGAGACATTGATGGTGAGTGACAAGTTGTGATGCTGCCTTTCTGTTTTACTGTCAGTGTTCAATTACCAATCCAGATCACGGCCAGTATTTGTTATATTGAGCCCCTTAATTAATAGATTTATCTTCTATTGCCCTGCTTTAAATAGCCTATATCCAAATGACCAGTTGAGCATCTGAAAATGACTGAATAAATCATTTTAGGATGTAATTGAATTTGTAACACAAAATATATATTTAATTGTGTTTCCTAGAATCACAACCCAACAATGATGAATATAGTAGTAGGTAGGTAGTTGAATACAGAGGTACCCATTTCCACAATTATTTAAAGGCCCTACATACCCATGGTCCATCTACTTATTTGCCTAATGGGTGTGTACAGACTGTGCTGGGTTAACATCTGCCTGCCAATCTTTTTAATTCCACACATCCCCCCTCACTGTTACTATAAAGTTACTTGATTTTAATAAGTGATCAGTTCCTGCTGTGGTTCTTTCCTTCCTCGCCCGCCAGCAGTCGGACGCCTGAGACGTAAGAGGCGAATTTCCTTCTCTTTCAACCTTTCTCCCATCCTCACCAAATCTAAGTCTGAGTTCATTTATGGGGACTCCTCATCTAGCGATGATGAGGATAACTTGAGTAAGTAATAGATAGATAATAGAAAATAGCTATTATGATGTCCAAATCAGAGTAGTGATTCCTGTTAGTGTCCTGGATCTCCCCCAAAGGAGCCAAAGGTGCCATTACTATACACTGTGTGCATAGTAATGGCACAAAAGTTGTGTTTTGATCAAGAAAACACAGGTACACTCCTAGACTATTCTCAAATTAGCTAACTACCCAGATTTTTGTATTCATGTCCTGACCTGTTACCTGAAGTATAGAAAGATCTTAATGTTGCCTCTCTTGAGGTGTCAAATTTTTTTTTTGGAATCACTCAGATTGATGTAGACAAGGTCGGCTGGCACTAAATTATGATATTCCATCACAAAATACACATAATGGATTATACTGAATAGCCTAACAGCCTTAACTTTAGTGCGACCTTTCAGTTTTACAGATTTGTGCTGGGTGAGTGCTGTCTGTTGTATTTACGCTTTTGCAGTAACAGTAAGAAATGCACTTAAGCCTGAACACAACTAGATGCTGAAGGGCGATGAAGTCCCAAAGGTTCAGCTGCAACAAACTTTTCATAAGGAAACCACTAATTACTGCCAATATTAAGCTGCTTGCAGTATGAATGTGCAATCACATTGAGCTTGTAGCGAAGTCATTGGTGTAGAAAACCACCTTCGACATTGGCAGCAAGCGTTAATCATTCCTGTTGACAACATTAAATAAGATCTTGGCTTCTCCTGTCACCCACCCAGCCCAATATTTAGCTGACCTTTACTTAGATTAGTCTTTGTTTTTGTCTCTTTGCAAAACATGAAACACAATCAACAGAGAAAGAGGAAAAAGAATAACCATAAACACTGCAGGTGAACTGAGGAAGCCCTTTCTTCCCTGCAGATAAATGTGAGCCTGTCACCTTTAGTTAAAGACACTGAGCATTCCCCTTTCTTATCTGTGAGATATTTCCATTAGTGTACACTGTCTCCTTGGCTGTGTTGCTAGCAACACAGTCAGGCCAAAACTTTGCCCTCATTATACTGTTTTGGGTTTGACTTTCTGATGCAGAGCAGGCAAGCAATGCTTTGCATATTTGCGCGTACGTCAGAATATTAGGTAGAAATGATTGTTTAGGAGGAAGCAGAGTTGTTCCCTAGAAAAGATGCGTGGCTACGTTTAACTGAGCTGAAGTAAAGTTTCTGTGGTAATTATTTAGCCAAGACTGCAGTGTGTGCTTTGATTACATGTGTTAATTATTATTATTTATTCATATTATATGCAATATTAAAAGATTAAAAATACAACTGGGTCAGATATTCACTGAAAAATACAAACGGTTTGGCAGTTACCGGAGCCAGGAACTTGGGTAGAACAATCTAGGTGCAACCATCTCGGCTTTATGTGAATAGCCAAAATTCAGAATAAATTACATGTGATTAGGTATTGAGACCATAATGTCTTACTGGAAATTTTTTTTTTTACTTTTTATTTTAAAATGTTCTGTTTCATGAGGTTGGATGGAGCTGCTATCTAACAGCCATTATTGGCACTGGATCTAAAGGCTGTACCTCAGCTTCAGGTTTTGGCCTCAGTGCTGGCTGCTCACATCAGTGCCAGAGTCATTTTGTTTTTGGCTTCTACACAGCTTCCACGAGAGTAGCTAAACGTTAAATACCTTGCTCAAGGACATTGAAGGTAGCTGTGGAAGTACAGGAGGGCATGGATTATTCAATTCTCTGCCCAAATCTTGCAGCCGGGACTGGAACTGACACGCCATTAGGTCAGTGAGGTCATTTATTTACTGTATATGAGGGAAAAAAAGCATGACCTTATGGTTAGTGTGGTCAACCCCTTAGCAAAGATGTTCACTGCCTTAAATAGAGGGAGGAAGGAGGATTTCCACCTGAGGTAACAAACAACAACTGCTGTCCTCTTTTTACCAGCTCCTGAATTTTTGTCGTACTGCTCACTTCCTCTCTCGTTTCTTTCCAGGTATGAGATCGTTTTCCAGCGCCTCTGGGTCACTAGCACACAGGTCAGTCCAACTCTGCACATACACATTACCAGGAAATAGTTCTTTTGATTTTTTTACTGCAGCTGGGACCTTTTATAGTCCTATAAAGAAACTGTGGAGAGGTTCTTGTAAGCAGTCAAATGGTTCTCCACAGAACCATTATAGTGTTGTAAAGAGCTATTTTCAGAATGTGAGAACAGGTAAGACTTGTGATTGCAGCTGAATGAAGATGAAATTAAATGTGTGTGTATGTGTGTGTACCAGTATATCAGAAGAGGAGCCTGGCCCACTGCGGAGCGACACTGAGGGAAAGAGTGTGACGAAAGTCAGCCGGACCTTCAGCTACCTCAAGAACAAGATGTACAAAAAGACCAGGGTGAGGGAACATTGAGTTTTTAATCAGCCTCAATAAAACTGTGGCAAGACTTTCGAGGTATTTTACTATATACTGTTTCTCAGAGCACGGCTTTCATGCGCGCAGTGTGTTTGATCAAAATCGAGCCTCCTTTCATTGACTTCTTCTCCTTAAACATTTATTCCAGCCTGCCTTTCAGCCCCACTCCACATTAATATGTTTGCACACAATCACGCTGGGAGCTGCCCTGCGCGTCTTCTTCTGTTGGCCTCTGAACAGCCCCAGTTGAACAGTTTGGGGTTACGTGTCTTGCTTCAGGGCAAGTCAGTGCCTCTTCTAACTTCCCCCATTCAGATTTAGGTTTGGTTTTGAGCCTGTAACATTTTCTAGTTGCAAACAGAATCTGTGGTGTAAGATGTGCTCAATGTCATCTTTTTTTCTTACACAGAGCCAGGTCGGGTAACTCACCTGCAAGAGGGGTTTCAGTGAGATTATTTCTTATTGCATTCTAAGTGATGACAATGCTTGTAATATCTCATTGTCATAGGACCGCATTCTTTTCAGCATGGCACTTGCTGAAAGTGACAGACTATATTGTAATATTGATTGGTATGATTTGTAAACACAATTGTCAATATTTGGATTTTAATACCATACTGATAAATAGCTCTATTTGGGAATAAAAGGGGCTATATATAATTTCTTAAACTTGTGTTTGTCTGTAACTGTGCAGCGCTTGCATAGAGAAACAGGGGTGAACAGGAAGTAAAACAGGAAGACAGAGTTGGCTGTGGTATTATAATCGCATCTCTTACCTCAGTCATCGCTTTGCTTTTAAAGTGACAGGATTCTTTCTGAAAGAGCACACCACAGCCTGCCCCTTGTCGCTCCTTTTAAAAAGTTATTGGGTTGTTTACATAATATGTGTATATATTAAGTGAAAAAATGTCCAACACAGGAACCACAGTCCTGTCACATACCACATTAAAACCTCTAATTTCTGCTTTGAATTCAACTGGATGAGACTTTAAAAATATAATTCACTTCTTATCAAGTACTAATTCCTAATTATTTTGTGATAATTGTCAGCTGATCTGTTTTTGGATAGACTGTCCACAGACAGTGTCTGTACAATAAAGTCTGAATGTTTTGGAAGAGGATCTAGTTAATGCAGTTTTGACATAGCGTCTGTACCAGGCTGGAGGGTCATTGCAGTAATAAGCACCTCCTGCACCGAGTCAGTCACTTCCTCATTGCTGCTTTCCTGATGGAGCCTCAGTGCTGGTAGTAGCTCCAGCCGCTCAGCCAGAGCCAGGGATGTTATACAGGAGATTCACAGGGAGCCATGGCTTCTCACTGAGATGGAAAGGTGGGCTGGAGGTAGGCTAACAGAGTGCTCTGGTTTCCCAGTCAAATTGTCGTGAAAGAGACTGTCACAATATCATGTTAATCATGACCGATGTTCCCCTCTGGGCTGATGTCTTTTTCCAGGGAAGTCATTGCCTGTTGCAGTATGTTTCACTATAATGTCTTTTTGTTTAAATTTCTGGTTTAGATGTCACAAGTAATTACTTCTCCTGTTGTGGCTAAAAGAAATGTGCTGAGAATTGCATTTGCTTCCTGTGTTTTTCCAATAAGTTGAACAGTTTTTGTATTTTTTTGATATTAACAGGAAACATATCTGAAACTGTTTCTTAGAAAGATTACTGTGGTAAAGAATACTTTATTAGGCCCCTAGTTCAAAGAAGTTTGTCGATGTGTTTCACCTTTGGTTAGATAGCTGTTGTTGCAGGAAGTGAGAATGAATGCTCTAAGTGTTGTAATGGCTATAAAACATGCAGTCTTGGTGTGGTCCAGTCAGCCTCACGGTATCTTGAAGCAACTGAACAAAATGAGCTCTAGTATGTCAGAGCTTTGTGGTCCCCTCAAACCAAGAGGCCTAGGGCCGGCCATTAAAAGGAGCTGGAAACTCCATTTTCCCATTTCCTCTGGGTTTGGGTGGAGGCTCTGTGATGTAAATCCAAGAGAATAAGAGCTCTGTTCTTCTCTGCATCACTTTATGGGATTTGTGATTGAGCTCAGTGAACAGAGATGACCAACAGCTGAGGATGACCTCGTCCATGAATGCAGAGGCAGCAGAAAGACCGCCCTGTTATGGAAAGGTCAAAGATTTGATTCCCAGACAGTGTGTCTCCGTCAGTAGTCACTGTGTTTCAGCCCACTGAAGTCCTCCCTGCTCATTCATCATAAGATGGTTTGAGAAAGAGCCTTATAGTAGTAAAACCACACAATATGTAATATGAAAATTGATTGTCCTTTTGTAGAAATGTCACTGTAATTGGTAACAGTTGTTATATACTGCCAGCATTATAAAGCTCTATCAGTAATCCTGTAAAATATAGCAAATTATCCAAGTTTTATAAAGAAAATCCTGTTGTCTTTAAATGAAGCAAAACAGCAAAGATTGCCTGAAACAAAGATGCACCAAATTTTAAATTGTCTCTTAATGAGACAATTTGTTGTCAGCATAAATAATGCATCACTTAACTTCCAAAGCCCCCTACTGTGTAGTACATCAGAGTAATAATGTTGCTCTGCTAGATTCAGATTAAAATTTAACATAAGCTACTGGCCAAATGCTGAGACATTTTGTCAGTGTATGGTCAGTTAGTCTACTCTGCAGGTAACCAAGCACACTCTTATTTTTCTAAACATCTAATTGACTGAACTCAAAGTGACCTTCCTCTCCTGGTCTCCCCGTATAATTGGGTCTGTGTTCCTAACTATGATAATTCCACCTGTGCAGGAAAAGGAGAGAGAGAAAAAGGAGAAAGAGAAGGAGGGCAAGGAGAAGGACAAGAAAGCAATTAATGGTCATCTATTCACAACGATCAGCTCGGGCCAGGCAACCCAGTGCTCCCAGTGCAATAAGGCTTTCAACAGCAAGGATGCTTACCATTGCACACGTAAGTACCTTTGTTCATTTCTTTTTCTTTTTTGCATTGTCTTTTAATTGTTTGTGACTGATCAGGAGTCCTGTTGCTTTAAGTCTAATCAAAGCCCATTAAGTGTTGTGATCCATTATTAAAATAATTTATCTTTTTGTTAATTCATTTCTAATTTGAAAACATGCTAAGTTCTCCACACTTCTGGGAACACACAATACTGAATATACTGTAAGAAGAACTCCTCAGTGCACATACATCATCAGGCATGAATCATGCTATTCTTACTGTAAAGGCTCAGTCACTACTTTTACCATATCATTTATAGCTGTATACACACATATAATTTAAGACGTTGGTTCGTGGACAAAAAAACAGTTATTTGGTTTCTTTTCCAACTGATAGAAAATACAACTTTAAAAGCATTAGTAAGCATTACTATTATTATTATTATTATTATTATTATTATTATTATGTGTTGTAATGTCAAAAATGAGGCTCAGCCAAGCAGAATAACTCTCTGGCTGAGGCTGCCTCATGATTTGTTTGAAGTAGTGAAACTCTCTAAAGTGCCATTTCTAATGTAACCCAGTCAGGCCCTCAGTGCAGACAACAAAACAGTTTTTGCATTGTTTTCCACTGAAGCAGCAGCAGCAGCCCTAAAGAGGATGTAGTTTATTGCACAAGCCTTTGGCGCAACTCCAAAAAAAGCCTAAAAAGGAGAAACCAGCTCTGCGATGGATCACAGCGATCCTCTGAATAGTCACAATCGGCCTCAAATACTTCAGACTGGCAAAAACAGCTCTTGTTGTGTTCAGTTGGTCTGGTTCGGATTTTTGGAGCCACAGACGGTTCGGAGAGTGTTTTTGGGAGGTTTGTACTCGCAGATGTCTGGCCGGTGTCCATTCAACGGACAGATACAGTGATCCTTTGTCTGAGATTAGCTGGAATTAGTTGGACTTCCACAAAAAGCAGTAAAATGCCCAATAAAACCATTTAAGAGGAGAAAGACACTGCAGGAATTTAAGCTGGTTTTACTGTGTGGGTCATAATTAGATATATCACATAATCTACTAGGTGGATGCTTTAATTCAAATCTCTTTTACAGTAACACAAGTGTATACACTTTTTACTTAGGTGATAGGTGGAAGTGAAATTGGAACCTGTACCCTGAAAGTGTTGCTGCCCTTCTGTTCTTGCTGAGTTACACCAGATTGTTTTCTCACCCAGACTGAGAGCACAAGCGTGTTGATGTAATCCTAAAACCGGAAATGTTGTATGCATGGTGACAAAGTCTGATAATGGGTTTGTGAGTTTTACTTGTGCAACATGTCTGTTTAAAACACTTCTGTCTCTTGGACAAAATGTAGTAGAAGCTTGGTGGAGCCCTGTTGTGATGCTTGGTAATGACACAAGCGCTGTTTGTCTCACTCCTTGATTGACCGCTTCAGTTGTTTCTGTGTGTTTTTTTTACAAGTATGTACAATAAACAGCTTTCTGCTTCAAAGTCCACTCTTATGAAATGATTTGACAGTATAAAGTATGGCACAGGGGATTTAAAGTCCATGACTGACGCAACAAGATCAGATCACAGAGCAGATATTATTTTAGCAATCTTGAATGATGACCCTTGTTCCATGGTGATTTGGGAATGTTTACATAATTGAAATTTTCCCATGCAATTCAGTGTGTGTGTGTGTGTGTGTGTGTGTGTGTGTGTGTGTGTGTGTGTGTGTGTGTGTGTGTGTGTGTGTGTGTGTGTGTGTGTGTGTGTGTGTGTGTGTGTGTGTGTGATTCCACAGCCTACCTCTCTTTTTTTCCTCCTTCGTCCACGAGCAGTATTACCCCTCGATTGCATCACATGCTCTGCTGTCTGGCTTTCATTAGTGGGTTGGTGGAGTTTCCTGGCCGGCTATGAAAACCAGTCAGAAATTCTAGCCCCCACCTTTCCACACACACACACCCTCGACACCCCCACCACGTCTACCATCATGCTCATAGTGTTCACTGTTGCTTTTCTTTCCAGACTGTAATGCTTCCGTCCACAAGGGCTGCAGGGACAGCCTGCCTGTTTGTGCCAAGGTGAAGATGAAGGTAAAGGTTCCCTCAGACTCCACCACTGGTTTTCTAGTATTCTGTTGTCCTGCAGCCAATATTGATTTGAACTCTGTATTCTCTGTTTCTCTGGCTAGTTGCCCAAACAGCATTTTGCAGTACCAGATTCAAGCTCATTTTCTACAGTCACGATGAGGAACAAATGTGAGTGTCAAACTAAACTTGGATTTCTTACAAATCTTCATTACCAGTTTTTATCTGCTGATTTCATGCCAAAGCACACTGAAACTGTTTTAAGAGCTGTCGGGGGATTCCTTGCTTTAGCAATTATTTGGACTAAATGTAACTTAACTAATCTAATTTACTATTTTTTCTTATGTTTTTAGGTCAGTATAAATATTATTAGATCCTCAAAGGACTAAACAAATTGTCTAGCCACTTAGGCTTGTCAAACTTTTGAAAACCCATTGGATCATTTAAAAACTACTGCTATGATGCAAGTTTTTTTGTTAAATGAAAATGATGGTATCTGTGGAACTGAATTTAAATCAGTATGTATTCATATGCATACAGAAGTAAAAACATATATATTTTACACATTGTTAAAATTAGATTATAAGATAAAAAGTAAGAGACTACAGCACATTTTGGGGAGCAAACAAAACCCAACAGAGCCAGTATAAAGGTTCTTCAAGAACCCTTGTAGGAACCCTTATGGTTATTGGCGGTTTTGCCGGCTACTATTAACTGTACTGTACTGTGCATATACAGCATTTATAACCTTTATTTAATCAAGCAATCTAAGATCATTGAAGTGATATACTGAGGCAACAGTAGACACCTTTATCAATAAAAATGTAGTTTTCTTCTTGTTGCTCGTGATGACCTGCCTACTTTTTGATATGGTATGATATTTATCTCTTGTAATTTTTCTGTCTGTGGTCCAGCTGGTGGGACAAGGGAGCGCCCCTGGTCGGCCATTTTGTCCCCCGAAGACCATTCTTCCCTGATGATCCCATCACCACGGAGACACACCAGCATCATGCCTTTCCATGGCAACAACCTCTCCAAGAGTCTCTCCATAAGCAACATCGCCGGGTGAGCGTGTGTGTGCGTGTGTGTGTGCGTGTGTGCGTGTGTGCGTGTGTGTGTGTGTGTGTGTGTGTGTGTGTGTGTGTGTGTGTGTGTGCGTGTGTGCGTGTGTGTGTATGCAATGATGTGAGGACACTCAGATAATCACATTTCTATTTCAATGAAATGAAATGTTTGTGTTACTATTTAACCTTTGTATTGAAGCCCTTTTTTCTCTCTCTGATTTGTATTTTTTGTTAACTTTTTATTTGACCACAGCATTTACATTGCAACATGTGTGTTTCAACAGCTTAATGGAGGTTTGTGGTTGTAACTGGCTGTGAAAAAAACAATGAATATTCATTTGATTATTCAATTATATGTCTCTCCATTCAGTCCGGTGTTTGATGAGATGCCCATTAAAGGCCTGCGGTATCTCTCCCAGTCTACTGACTCCCTCAACAGAACCAACCAGGTCACAGAATCCATGGAATCGCTCACTGATGAAGGTCAATACACACACACCTCTACTCTGACAGCTGTCAATCAGCTGGGATCTGAGACTCCTCTGATTGGAAAACTAAGTGAATATCTAACCAAGTTTTAACATAATCTGATATTAGAGTAACAATACAGTAATACTATTCAAAACCTTTCAATGCTTTACAGTGTGAATGAATGGAATAACACAAAATGGCATAGTCAGTGTGAGTGAATAACTCTGGAAATGAATGGGATACAGCACATTTTCTTGATTTAAATGACTTGTTTTAGGAAGTGACCTGAGTTTCTTTTCTGAAAGGAAAGGTGATCATTGTTCACAAGCTAAATACAAATGAGCTGCTGATGACAAACACACATGAGATTCAGATTTTAAGTGCAAGCTGTGTTGTTGGTGAAGGGACAGAGATGATGGACGGGCAGCTGATGGGGGAGTTTGAGGCAGAGGCCAAGGAGCTGGAAGCTGACTCGTGGAGTTTAGGTGTGGAGCAGCAGTACCTGCAGCAGTTGGACAAAGAGCTGGTGAAGAGACAGGATGTCATCTACGGTACATTAAATTAACAAAAATATGGTTTTAAATTGAATCTTAAAGAGTCCAGTGTTTCTCCGGTTTTCTCCCATCTAGGTCTCTAGTACTCCTAATCAAAAACAAAGGAAATCACTTGAAATAACTTGTCAAGTGTATTGTAATTATTTTTTCGGTAGCCGCACTTTCCCTCAGCAGGCCATGATGATTGTCACTTCACTTTGTTTCAGTCTATTAAGGCTACAGATTTACCTCATTTAAATATGCATTGAGGTCTTAATGCCTGAGATACTGTGAATCCTGTTTGTTTTGAAAGTCCTTAAGATTTTAGCTTTTGATTAAAATCTACTTTTCAAATACATTTGATTGAAATGATTCTGAAAAGCACATTACTGTACAGTATGTGTAAATATGTACATATAAATGTATGTCATGAATTCTATGAAACTCTTTATAGACCTCTGAGGTAATTATGTAGATGCATATAAAAACTCCTTCAAATGTCATTCTTTCCCTAAGTCTCACTTCCTTCTATGTTCTTCAGAGCTGATGCAGACAGAAATACATCACATCCGGACATTGCGCATAATGTCAGAAGTCTACAGCAAAGGCCTGCAGAAGGAGGTCCAGCTGGAGCAGCAGACAGTGGAGAAGCTGTTCCCCGCTTTAGATGAACTCCTGGAGCTTCACACACAGCACCTCCTCCGCCTCCTGGAGAGGAAGAGGGAGGGTCAGTTTGAATGGGGCAGCTCGGAGGGAGGCTTCATCATTAACAGGATAGGAGATATTCTGGTCAGCCAGGTAAGAGGAGAGAGGGGCTGGTGTGATGAGGATGAAGGTCCTAAAACTCCTTTACCACATCACGAATGACATTTGTCCCCTTTGCCTGTGTTGGTAGTGTAGGAGGCCTGGAGGCCAAATTATGCAAAGTCTGCAAAACATTTCCATCCGCCTTAGCTGTGCTTTGTGGCTCAGGAGGTAGAGCGGGTTGTCTTCTAATCAGAAGGCTGGTGGTTCGATGCCCAGCTCCTCCCGCTATAGTCCATTAACCATTTACTTTGTGTTTATGGCTGTGTACAGCCATAAACAGAGCTGCTGCTGGTTTGTTTCCACCGCAGTCCTTAACTTGAAAATGTCAGTGGTTTGATTCCTTTGCTATTGCTAGTGTTTTGGTATGCTGCATACACCTCTTATGTAAAGTTACACTTTCGTTGAATTAAATATTGTTGTAGAACTCAATATTACCCACAAATTACTTAATTTTGTAACTTGCTACATTCAGTGCAGTGTTAGCTTTCTAGCATAGCTTTTGTTTTTGCTCTGCCAGTGTTTGCTTTGTGTACTTATGCCTGTTCAATTCTGCTCTAGTTCTCAGGATCCAACGGTGAAAGCATGAAGAGGGTTTACGGAAAATTCTGTAGCCGCCACAACGAAGCCGTGAACTTCTACAAGGACCTTCTGACCAAAGACAAACGCTTCAAGGCTTTTATCAAAGTAAGACTTAGATTTCAGCACTGGTTCTGCAGACAAGATGGTTTTTCATTGAATAGATGTCTAACAAACATTGTGTTGTGCTACTTAAGTTGTCAACCTCCTTGTTCTGTCATGCTTTTCTTTTGTGTTTTTAGTCTTTTGAATGCATGTATTGGAAACATATTGCCATTTTACCCATGACAGTTTTTTATTTTTGTTGTTTTTTAAGTGTCAGTACTTATTTTGTCTTTACTGTCTGTGTCATATCCACAAACACAATGAACACCTTCTTGACTATTGTTACTATATTGTTCTACAGCAAAATAGTTTTTCCAGTGCTTATGTGAAACCATGTCTGGTTTTGAGCCACCTGTTGTGTGGGCATTTTTACTAAAGCACTTGTTGTTGTTCTCTTCCAGAAAAAGATGAGTAGCAGCATTGTGCGGAGGCTTGGCATCCCAGAATGCATCTTGCTGGTGACCCAGAGGATAACAAAGTACCCTGTGCTGATTCAGAGAATGTTGCAGCACACTAAAGGTTAGTTTCATGTCAACTTCTCGCTCATCTGTGCTTTTAATGTCTGTGCACAATAATGTGAACTGGGGAAACTGGAAGGAGGTTGTTTGTTTTAACTGGGACGACCCTGGAAATAACAGACTATGAGACCAGGATAACAAAGCAAGAAATAGATTGTAAGAACACATTATGATTCAGAAGATATTTAGATGCATTATACAAGGCATTATGTAGGGAGACTTGTTAGTCCCCAATTGTTTTCTTTGATTCTGTGTTATTTTGCTACTTTGTAGTCTCTACTGGTGACTTTCAAATGTGTTTCACACTGTTAATACCTTGCATAAAATATACAAACAAAACATTCACAATTCAGAACACATTATTTCCAACTGTCAATGAACTGTCACAAAATAGTGATTGGAAGAGAGTAAAGGAAAAAATCTTACATTCAATCATAAGTTATTTCTTCAACTTGAAACTCTCTACTATTGGAGTGCGTTAATTATCTCTTGATCTAAAGGATTTGCCCATAAACAAGTGACAGAAAACAAGACAGAATAAGGCCAATCACTGCATTAATATCAAGAAAATGTTGCTAGCTTATAGATTATTAGAGAATCAAGTTCTAAAATATTTGTATGTCATATAGTACCCCATCAGTTCTTTTTCAGTAGGATTAAATGTAACTTCTTCCTATACAGTTCAGTCTACGTCAGTCGTAATACTGCAAAGCAACTCACATTGTCATTTGTTTTAGGTAACTTCCTGAAAAGTTGAATTTCTCACACATGGGTTCATATATTTTAATAAAACTGAAACATATGTCGAATGGGTGTTTTTAGAATAATAGATCAAGCGTACTTTGAGGAGCTGAAATATTTCACACCATATTTGTATCTGATTTAAAGCAGCTCTCGTCAGCTGGCCTCCCACTGTGTACATTCTCTCTAATCCTTCCCCAAAGCCTGTTTATAGTCTATGTGGGACGGGGGAGCTCTGACTTAATCCCCAAGGTGCTTTAAGAAGACTCTCTCCTGCCAACTCTGATATATACTGAGTGGAAATAACACAGCACACTCACAAGTTAGAGATAGTATTTTGGTGCTCAGGAGCATTGAAGTACAACAACCACAGGAGGAAAATATTCCACTTTGGGGAAAAATATTACATCTTCAGTCCAAAACCCAAGTGCTAAATACACAAGATGTATATCAGAGACGTATTGACTATGGGGCTTTTCTCAGTGTGCAGACCTACAGGCCACTGGTGATTTTATTTCTTGCAGTTCTACTCTTCTTCTAAAAAAAGCTTTTGAATTCAGTTGATTTGGGAAAGCCAGATGAGCCACATAGCTTAGCATGAGCAACAATAGTGGCTAAGTAGTAGAGAGAAAAGAGACTACACTTACAGAAATGTAAACTATATTGACATACATTTAAAGCTTTGGAAAATACACTTATTTGCCTTCTTGCAGACAGTAAGATATGACAGTAGTGTTGATCTTTTTCTCAGCTAAATACGAAGCGACTGCCAGTAGCCGGTTAGCTTAGCACATAGTCTGGAAATAAGTGAAAACAACTGAGGTAACAGGCACATATTTACACTTTCTGTATGGAAAAAAAACCAAGATATAACATATTAATCAGTAAGCTTTAGAGGTGCTGCTAACTGGATTTTATTGCCATTGGACAGAGACAGGCTAGCTGTTTCCTCCTGTTTCCAGTCTTTGTGCTAAGCTAAGTTAACCACATAGACACACAAGGGTGGTATCAGTCATCTCACGCAACTCTCGACAACAACAAAAAAAAGTTTTGATTTATTTCTCTAAAGAGCTTAAAAAACGATTTTCTCAATAGCTTCTTATACTAAACAATGGGCTCCTACATAAGCACATAGTTGGGTGCGCCAGTGTTGGTTAGTAACAGTTTTTATTTTTTCACATGAGAGATGTTTTTCTCTGTACTCTTCAAGCCAATATGAAGTGGGCGTGGGGGCTCAGTTTAACACATGTTAAGTATTTCTGTGCATCAATCACAGTTAAGCAACATTTGAATCAAAATCTGATGACAGTTGTGAGGTTGTTTGCTTATCTTTCCAGTACTGTCAAACTGATCAAACCATCCCCATACAGTCTGGGTGGAGCAGATTTTTAGCCCTTAATAATTAATACTGAAGTTTAACTCTGATTGTTGCTTATTTATTCATGAATCTTTAATTTTATAGTGAAATATATAACATTTGTCAGTGCAGTTTGATTGAAGAACACCACAGCTCTGATATGCTGATAAGCAACAGAAACAGTAGGTCTGGGTGGCAGTTTTTACAATGAGTTTGCATCTCTGACTACCATAATACATTTAAAAATACCAGAAATTGAAGTCAATAACACAGGTAATCATCTTTTTTGCTTTCTTAAGCACATGTATGCTCTACATCCTAAAATCCCATTGAGGTATGTCAAATGACCCTTGTAGAAAAATAAAAGGTGGTTTTTGAACTGAGAACATGTGTTCAGAATAACTACTCTAATTAACCTATCAAGCAGAAACTGTTTGGTGAGACAGTGTGGCCGAAGTGTCCATACAAATGACTTGAGCAGACAAGATAAATGGGCAGAACAGTGTATATTTTTGAGATACAATCATCTCGCTAGTAGGAAAGTACCTTTTCTCAAGATGGAGGAGCATTTAAAGTTTTGTGGACCACAAGTTCAAACTCAGAAAAGCTCAGTCTGCTCAGTCAGTGTGCGTTTCAGGTACACACGAGAAGGAAAAGAGATTGTGTCAAAATGAAAAAAGCGAAACTCGACACACATGAAAGAAGTTTAGGGGACTTTATAGAAGTTTGTGTGTCCAACTCCACCTACTAAAATCATAAAAAGGCTTGCATTGCTCTCTGCAATGACATTTGCAATAAGAGGTTTGTCAATGAGTGGAAATGTAAGCACAGTTAAATGTCAAAATGGGTACAGAAATTTCCCTGCACCTTCTGCTGCGCATAAACACGTCCTCAGCTGTGCCACTCTACCCATCTAGTTCAAGTGTGTTAGTTTGGAGCCATTAAATTACCAAATGGACTTGCCTAACAAAAATGGCTTTCCCTGAATTTGTGCCTCTGCAGGTTTTACACCTGCATACAAAATCTTCACTTTTCGCATAAAACAAGTGAGACAAATTAATTGTGAGCTTTGATTTCTATCCCATCAGTAATCAGGTGGGGCTAAGTGTTTTATGTTGTGGTTGGAATCTAACCTGAGACCAGACTGCTCCACTGTTGCCTGTCTAACCCTCTCACGTCAAATGTCGAACACAGAAAGCGAGGAAGAGTACGACGACCTGACGGACTCTGTTCGGCTTGTGAAGGAGGTGATTGCGGCGGTTGACAGCAAGGTGAACGAGCACGAAAAAAGACGTCGTCTGAAGGAATTTCACGGCCGCATGGACAGCAAGTCCATCATGATGATGAAGAGCGGTCAGATTTTCGCCAGGGAGGATCTGCTGAGGAGAAGGCTGATCCACGATGGAGTGCTGCAGCTGAAGAACAGCCAGGGAAGACTAAAGGGTAAGGAGACGCTTTACTGACTGACAGCAAATTCTCTTTCTCTCTGTAAATATGTCAAATTTGGAAATGTGAAAATATATGAATGTATTTTAACTTTTCACCTATGCAACCACAACTACTTTTCTCCTGGCTGTTCTCCAGATGTCCACGCTCTGCTACTATCAGACGTTTTCGTCTTCCTCCAAGAGAAAGACCAGAAATATGTCTTCGCCATGCTGGTAGGATCCTGCTGTCATTTCCCTCTCTCCTTTTGTCTCTTTATGTCTCTCTCCTTTCTCCGCCCTTCCTTCTGTTCCCTCTGTTGTTGCTGCTGTTCCCTCTGTTTTTCCTCCAGTAATAAAGATCTTATGAGCACTGCCAGATATGTTGTTGTCATATTTTCCTATCCCACTGTTGTTGCTGTTAGCATTAGCTGGCCTGCTTAGCTTTCCCCCTGTGTAATATTGCCTGCCTCTAGCTAGCTATCTAGCTAGCTGCACCTCATAAAGCATTTCTGGCCTTCAGCATCTAATCCAACTGTGATAAATCATATAGGTTGGAGTCCTTTTTTCCATGTTTAAAGGACTCACAGTTTCATGGCATGGCATGGCATGGCACACACACACACACACACACACACACACACACACACACACACACACACACACACACACACACACACACACACACACAATAGGGGGAATGAAAACCGAGGCAGGCCTGTGGCATAATAATCACATCCATCATTAAAAACGGCTTGGCATGTTTGAGTTGAGATTGTTGACATTGAAAAGAGGAATAACATGTGGTTTTTAATGGATGGCAGTCATGTGAACCAGCTTGAGTTTTGGGCAGAATAAGCTTTAGTTCTGAGGATCAGTAACAGTGCTAGAAGCCAGTAGCAATGAGGTCAGAGTTCACTCGGACAGGAAGTATTCCTGTGAAGCTAAATGTGGCTAATATGAGGTTCCAGGAGTCAGAGTTAGCCAAGTCAAGTGGGTATCATCCAGAGTCTCTTTGGTACGGAGTCCATGTTTTCCCAAAAGATAGTTTCATTTGCTGAGCTGCAGTGAAAGGATAGTAAAATACATTTCTCACAGAACTTTGGCTCTGGATTTTTCTTCCTATTATTGTTACAGAATAGTCACAGTAGAAAGACAGACTTAAATAATCTGAACCTTTTCCTAAAACCTCGGACTGCAGGAAAAACGTTGGGATGTGGTTACAATGTCAGAGTTTTACTGGATAGAGGAGAAATAAAAGCGGTTTGTGGTGATAGTGCACTAAACTGTGCTTTGCAGTGTTTGTAGCCTTAAGGTAGCAAGCTGAGACTCTAGAAGTCAGCTGACTGACGTTGATGATACCATTAACCAGAATCTCATTTCACCTTATTCTTTCCCCTTTATTTTTTTTACATTCTTCACTCATTCCTCTAATAATTCCCTTTTTTTCTGGCCTTCTTCACCACACCACATTTCATTCCTTTTCCTGCCCCCTTCCATAATTATCCTTTTCCTCTTCCTCTCCCCCTCCTTCTTCAACCCGCCCGTCTTCCTGCCTTTCCCATCCTATCCCCATCATCAACATTTGTCTTTCCCCCTCCCCCTTTCCTCCTCGACCCTCCCACTGTCATCCTCCCTTGTCGCCTCCATCAATCCCTCCCCTCCTCTCCCTGTAGGACCAGCGCTCCACGGTCATCTCCCTCCAGAAGCTGATCGTGAGGGAGGTCGCAAACGAAGAGCGCGGCCTCTTCCTCATCACGGCAGGGATAGAGAAGCCAGAGATGATGGAGGTCCTGGCCGGCACGAAGGACGAGCGCAACACCTGGATGCAGCTCATCCAGGAAGCCATGCAGTCCATGTAAGTGGGATTCATTTATGTGTTTCTTTAGGCATTTTAACTGAAAAACATTTCAATGATTTAATGCTTTTGTAGCCAGAAGACAAGTTTTGCCATTTTTTACTTTAGTTTGACCTCAGCATGTAACCCCAAACTCAGCCCCTAACCTATCTTGCCCTATTTACTTCAACCCATAACCTAATAAGGTTACCCATAAGGCCTCTTAGGGTTCACCTGTGGTATGTCTGTGTTGTAACCCAGGAGTTAGACCCAGCCCAGTTTGCTAGATAGTAACAAACAGTAAGCTGCGACAGAGCATTTTGCTGTCAGGAGGATTAGCACTACTCTACCTGGGGATGGGATGTACTCAGGGACAGTCTAATGCTGGATTGGCTTCAAGGGCAGCTCACTATAAGCAGAGGATTATTCGACTGTAGCCAGCGGGAAGGAGAGAGATTTAGTACTCTCTCTCTTTCTCTTCCTCTCCTGTCTGACTTGTGTCAAAATATAAAATTGAGATCAGGCTATTGGCAGAAATGGAGGAGATTAAAACAAAAACAGTTTTCCACTGATGTTCTGTCTGTTGTTTCCATCAAAAACATCACATTGTCTCAGGGTTGTCTAATCCCTGTCTAGTGAAAGTGTGTCGACTGATTGGTTGTAGATTGAACTGAAGCTAATGGTTATTTTTTCATTCATCCTTATTTAAATAATTGTTCAGTAATTTTTGTTTGATAAATCATTTATTATAATTTACAGGGAGAAGGATGAGGACGAAGGGATTCCCAGTGAGACAGAAGATGACAAGAGACAACTGGAGACTAAAGCCAAGGAGATGAGAGGTGAGAGAAACACGTTTAGGGTGTTTATGTAAAAGAAAACAGAGAAACAATATCACAAAATGTTTTCCTCACTGTCTGTCTCTGTTGGTCAGATCTGTTGAAGCAGAAGGACACAGAGATCATGTCTCTGCTGGAGGAGAAGGTGCGGCTCTTCAGGGGGATGTGGGAGGGCTTGAACGCAGGCGAGGAGGCCTGCCGGCAGGCCGAACCTTTCTTCAGGTCAGCCTGCAGCCTGGAGCCGCCCAGGGGGGCTTCCGTCATGAAGGATGCCCTGCAGGAAGGTAAGACAGAGAGTTTGTAATGTGTGTAATATGCCGTAGATGCATTGCTCATCGAGCTTTAACAATCACACAGAATGAACAGTTTTGAATAGAAAGAGAGAGAAGCAGACACGCTACCTTATCTCAGTTTCCATACACGTGAAACTATCATTGTGGTAAATTATTATCGCTTTGTTTGTTTTGTTTTCTCACATATGAAGTATGAAATATGTCCGACAGTAGGTTACATAACACTACGGCCCTGTCAGATTTCTTCCCCATAATGTGTGGAATGTTGCCATGGAGCCAGTTAGTTTTAGTAGTTTTTAGTTTTTCAGTGTACCCATGGATGTGGATACAAATATCGCTGGATTACTTTGATACTGAAGAAAACTGAAAAACTGGATATTTCTGTGGCAAGCTCTGGAGTTATTAGGAGTAGCTTTTCACTATAATCTCTAAGTGGATTTACTGTTGTTTATTCACAACGGATATTGGAGATAATTAATAATAATATAATAATACTAAAGTCACACTGAATCTGTGGATCATGTCTGATCATGATCATATCTCCGTTCCATATTAAGTGTCCCAGGAAGCCATGTCAGTGAGCCAACATGCACAATAACAAGACCCTACTGGATCATCATCCACACTGAACAGAGCTATCATTTATTAATGACGCTTGTGATTTTCATGGTATTACAATGTCTGCTGTGAAAAAGACTTATTATTCCACCTATTTTGAGTTCTTGATGACCACTACCCCTCACACCTAAATAGAAATTGAACTGTACACTACACAAGAGTCTGCAGTCTAACTTATTACTAAGTACTAGTCCAATGTGTATGTTAATCAAACCTGTTACTAATGAGCACACACTTAATAAGTCACCTTTCCTCCTGAACAGTAATTGGTTTGGTAGTTGGATCTTAACGGAGCCTGAGTGATTGTGTTTTTGGATGATTTAAAGACACTGTACGGGAGACATTAAAGGAATCAATTTGTTTTAGGATTTTTATTCCAGCTCTGTTTGGTGCTATGGCAGCCCTGTTCATCAAATGTGTATGAGAGGAAAGCAGCATGAACTGAGAGAGATACTGTATACTGTGTCAAAGAGAGAATGAAATGTGGAGGAAGACAGAAAAGCACAACACATTCTCTGCACATTAATTGACATAAAATTTAAACCAGCAGTTCTGGAATTTTTGTTGACTGAAAAATTTAACTTCTTCAAAAAAGTATTTCAAGAAGAGTCGAGTGTGTCAAAAAGTATTCTTAAGCAATTGTATCTTGTTGAATCATGGAATCTATTATCACTTGTTTCCAGGGCAATTTCATTTTTTTCAATTTATATTCATATTATGAAAGATTTACTAGACCTACTGGACTAGATAACTTACTAAAAGATAAGAAAATAAGATTTCTAACCAAAAACTAATTTCTTGGTCTTTAAGAAAGTAGGAAAAATATTATTGACTGAAAACGATCCAGGATAGCAGTGTAACCTGTTGTCAGTGCAGTATTGTGTAAATATGAAGCACTATTTCTTCATATATTTGATGTACCAAGAGTTGTGTTGTGGTCAGTGTATTTGCATTCTAGTGGTCAGAGCTGTGAGCTACGTAGGGGAAGACTGAGAAGCTATGCACAGATGCAGCAAGTGCTTAATGATTTCAGAGTAGTGCTGCAGGCAAAGAGTGTTCCACAAAAAGGTGTAGTTAGTCACAAAATCCCAGGAATTTGTTCTACAGTTTACAGGTTGTGTAAGTGACATTAAACTAAGAATTGTTTGCAGCTCTAATGCAAGAGAAATGTATGAAGGAGAACTTCTACAGTGGGTTCACTTTTAAAACTAGCAGGAAAGGTTTAGCTACACTATTAAAGATTGTATTTTTCACCTCCTCCTTCTAAAGCCCGGGGCAATAATTGTCCTTACTTGATATGTGTATTGGCAGCAGTAATGTAATTTCTTCTGCTGGAGGTTATTGTCTTTTACTGTGAATTCTCATCCACCAGCAACGGCTTTGTTTTTCCTTAGTTTCATTGAAAAGGTCACAGCGCTGCATGGTCTGTATACATATGTGAATACCAATACTGTATGTGTCTTTCCACAGTTTCCATAATTTCAGATGGTAAAGATATTTAAACTTTTAGTAAAAGAGCTCTGTGGTTCAAACAGGTTGTCAATAGTTGCTTAGCAACAGGAGCCAATACCAGCTTGAAAGCAGAAGTGCCTGGTAGGATTCATGAGTGCAGAGCTGAACTGTAACACAGTTAGCCAGGATAATTCACTTACTGACCTGCACATTGATGTTTGCCTCTGTGTGTTTGTTTGTGTGTGACAGTGGAGACGTTACAGGCGCTAGTGAACGGGAGCCTAGGCGGGGCGATGGCCAGCGTCCAGGAGGGAGGAGGCGCAGGGCCGGTATGTTTGCCCCGTCGGGCCGAGACCTTCGGAGGATTCGACAGTCACCAGATGCACAGCAGTAAGAGTGAGTCTGCTGCCACATGTTGTTTTCTATGCAGAAATTGTGCAGACTGTGGTCAACCAGACTTCATGTTTGAAACCTGTAACCATCAAACACACTGAACCCTGACCTGCTGAAGCGAATAACTGCATCGACTCAATGACTCGACTGCAAATGTGCAGTGACACTGCTGAAAGCCCAGTTCCCATTTCAAAAGTAAAATATTTCACCTGAAAACTGATTTTTAGGGTCACATAACAGCAGGCACCACACCCAGTACTTCCCACAATGCCCCTGTTCAGTGCAGTTAGATAAAACATTTTAGACGAGTATTTGGACAGCAAAGCCAATGCCTCCTGAGGGGAATGTGGCCTGGGGCGATGCCTCTGAACTGGTAACTTGCGAAGCTCAGAGTGGGACAGAGTGGCAGATACTGAGCCATGAGAGGTCTAGACTTCTACATCAGTAGCAGCACCTGGAGAACTGATTTTTTATCAGTGTGATGTTTTTAAGAGTATGCCTCTTTATTTTGTTCAAAAAGCAAACATAGACACAAATATTAATGTCAGAGGCATTTTGTCAAAATTATATAAACTAATATTAGAGATTGTGGAGTCAACTGAACCACACACTGTCAGTTGAGATTTGGTTGAAAAGGAGTTCTCAGGAGGTGAATGGATTTGTGTGAGCAGATGAGAAAGGAAATGGCAAGGTATTAGAAATATGAAAAATAAATGAACACAAAAAACAACCATAGTTTTCATATGCATTAAATATATTTATCAACAAAATCAGAACTAAATCTTAGGGCGTTTCTCTATCATGTACTTTAAAGACCTAAAAATAAGCAAGCAATTACTGTTGCAGCCAGTTCCAGTGATTCATTGGACAGGGGGAAACACTGCAGACTCTAAGCAGTTGATGAACACAACATTGGTCACTGCAGGGATCAAACTTTATGTTAAGGCTGTAAAATTGAGCTGATTCATACATTTAAATAATAAATAAATACATTAAATTATTTGTCAATTAATGGATTAATCAACAGAAAATTAAATGGCAACTAATTTTATACTGAATTCATTTTTTTTATATAAAAAATGCCAAATTAGCTTGTTCCAGATTCTCAGTTGTGAAGATTTGCTGCTTTTCATTGTCTAATATGGTAATAATACATGTATTTTATGTGTTATCCTTGTGTGTGTTTGTTGGCCTGGTAATGACCGTGGTCCAGTTGCAACTGGATATTGCAGTTCTGTTTCATTACTTTTAATACTGATCATTGTTCATCATGCACATTTTGTTGCATACCTATGGATTGCAGTGGACACCTGTTGACAGACTCTCAGCTATGTGTGGAAAAGTGCACAACAGCAAAGACCACTTGACCCAACTGTTACACCATCAGTAAATTGTGATCGCCTTGCATTAGACATTAAACGTTTTTTTCAACATGTGACAATATTTAAAGATGCTAAATATTCCATATCATTGTGGCTCTGTTCTCATACTCTCTCCCAGTAGACGTGAATGTGGATTATTTGCTGCCTGCTTCAATTTTGGTCTCCTGTGGTTTCCCTTTATATCAGGTGGAGACAGAGACGAGAGCGAGGATACAGCAGGAGATCTGCGCAGGACGGAGTCCGACAGCGTTTTAAAGAAGGTCGGCATCTCAGCAGCCAATTATTCTTAACTCTGAAGCAGCTATGCCCCCACGCCTCAATGAGAACCTCAAGCCATGCGTGGGGTGCATTTGTCCTCCAACATTAACAATACCATTAAGATGAATTTAGCCGCTTCTCTCCCTCCAGTGAATTAGCCTCTTGACTCTTCCTGCCAGGTCCTGTTGCTAATGGCGACCGTCAGTTGTATAAGAATTCAATAGTGGATGAAAATGAATGGGCTGCCTTTAGGTGCTGCTATTGTAGCTCTGCACTGGACTTTGTAGTCATATATTCTGCACATATCCAGCAGCTGGACTGCACATAACTGTTTCTTGAATGTTTGGTAGAGGCAAGCCACTGTGGTACGCTGTTAGAAGTCAGAATGATCATTAAAGATACAATGCACAGTTAATTCAAGCATTACATTTTCTATTATATTAGTTTATGGTATTTGTAAAAGCGAATACATTTTTAGAGATGTTTAACCCATCGTCACTTAAATGCAGCTGCGAGACTGCTGTGTTACTGTATCACTTTACATAATTATACCCAGATACAATTAGATTTTTACAGCACACCCACGCTATAATCACATTCACACAGCCATATATACTGCAGTGTATGCATGCTCACATGCACGTACTGTACACACACAATGACACACTAGAGAATGTGTGTATGTGGGTGCATTACTGTGTTCTGGCTGTACAGTACTTAGTGTGTGTTTTTGTCTGTGTGCAGGGAGGAAACGCCAACCTGCTGCTACTGCTGAAGAAGAACAGTGAGGTAACACTGACTTCCTGTCTCTAACTCAATTAAAGCTGCTGTTTACATGGAAACCGTCAAAACTCTGTGTTACCATCATTGTTATCAGCATCAGTAACCATATACGCTGAAACAGCACTAACAGCAGCAGCTGTAGTTGTACTGCAGATGTTTGTATTAGTGGTATTAGATGTTAGTTATATAATTTAATAAAATCATGCCTATAAGAGCAGGCTTTAAGAAGAATTTCTAATGAAAAATAAGATGAATTATGCATGAGAATAGAGCAAGCATCCCAAGCAGCGCAAGTACATTAGCAGTAAAACTTACCAAGATAGAAAAATAAAGATTAAAACTCACATTAATGCCACAGAAATATTCTAAAGGCCTCCTATAACACATGGTGAATTGTGAAAACAACACAACCTACTAACCTGCTTACAATTATGCTAATATTTTTATATTTAGATGGTATAATGTTCACCATATAAACCATCTTAATCATAAAGTGCGGCTGAGGCTGATGGGAATGTCATCAGTTTTGCAGGCAATTAGTCCTAACCAATATACTGTACAAATTGAAATTTAAGCTGATGATGGTGTGATGAAAAGTGATCACCAGAGTTATTATAATTCAACCTCTAGGGACCATGGATGTCTGTACAACATTTTGTGCCAATCCATCTATGTTGAGATATTTCACTAATTAAGTAAAAACTTCGGCTTCCTTGTGTGCTGTGTTAGAAATGTTGTTTCCCAGTGAACATTAATTGCCGCATTTTGTGTCTTAGTAAACACTGGTGGCAGCTGATAGCTCAGCGCCCATGTCTCTTTGTCAGTGTTTGAATAGAGAAAAGGTCACATCACTGTAAACTCAAGTCAGTTTAATATTGGTTTTAGTCCATAATTCATATTACATGCAATCCACTGCTAGCACTTATTAAAAGAAAAAGTCAACATTTAATATAAAGCACTGATGCTATCCACGGTGCATTTTAAAGCAAAGTCAAGTGCAGCAATAAGCAAAACAACATCAAAGAGATATTTTTCTCCATGCAACAAGAAAAGGATAGAACAATAACAGGCCATGATGTTTGATGAGTTTACAAGATGCTCAGTGATCTCTCTTTTCCAACAGCAGGTCCTTAACAGTGTCTCCAATCTGCATCTCCTGCTCAGCACTCTCCAGGTAAGATGGTTTCCATGCAATTTATACATCTGCTCCAAATCAGTTGAAATGATGCAACTGTGTGAAGCTTTTTGCTGTTATTGCAAATGTGAAAACATCACAATGTGAACAGCCATAGAGACAGACATATCTGTATCTTTGAGACAATACCTGGAGTGATTCTGACCTAATCTGTCTGTCCTTTGGCTCTGGTTGTGTCCAGGCTGTGGTGGTTCAGCAGGACAGTTTCATAGAGGATCAGAGACAGGCCCTGAGCGAGCGCTCCTCCTCCTGCACGTCCTTATCGCGACCGACATCGCGGCCCAGCTCGCTGATTGAACAGGAGAAGCAGCGCAGCCTGGAGAAGCAGCGGCAGGAGCTGGCCTCCCTGCAGAGACAGCAGGCAGCTCATGCTGAGGAGAAGAGGAGAAGGGAGAAGGAGTGGGACCTGAGGGAACATCACCTGACTGAAAGGGAGGGGCTGGTGCACATACAGGTAACTATGCATCACTTTCTACAAGTTCTGTGCATTATTTATGTTTCTAGGCAGCTGTATTTCTCAACCCCTGCCAACAGTGGGATGGTTTATACTGTAGTTATTTTGTAGCTATATTATTTCATTTTACTCTTAATGCTAAGAGCCAAACTGACTACAAACTGATACATTCTTACCTTTAAACACAAAATGCTGTAGTACTAGTAGCAGTGGATAGAAAAGGAGGAGAAAGAAAAGTGATATATTTTCTTTTGTAAGAAGAAAGAAGAAATGTTGATTATATTCAAAGTCTGTTACAGACACTAAATAATTTACCCAACACTGGTGAGCTCTCGACTGGTTTGTTTTTCTTTTAATTTTTCTTTTCCTGAGATTCAGTAGGAAGCTTGCGTTCTAGAAGACTTTACCTCAAAATAACTCAAATGTATTTTGGCTTAACATGCATTTGGTAGGGAGGTAGATAGGTGGAGATAGATGATTTACTGTGCACTTGGATGGGTATCAATAATTAATCAACCAAATCTTGACAGGCCTACAATCAACCAAAAACAGCAAGCCAGTGTTATCCTGTACTATCTCATTTATTTATATGAAACAGGAATGTATAGCACTGCTAACTTTTATTCAAAGGGTTTTTAAATATAGTTTTCTGTCTTCTAGAAAACAAATCGTTTTTATTCATTCAGCCTCAGATAATGGAGCTCAGACTTGTAATATTAATCTACACAATGATGGACTAACCTCCTTTTCAGTTTCTGAAAACACAACATATCTTTGTGCTGTAACGTTTCAATAAATCCATCAATGCACGTCCCAACCACTGCAGGAGGAAGAGGTCCTGAAGCAGCACAAGGAGCTGGAGGAACAGAAGCGTGAGCTGCAGAGTAAGAAGGAAGAGTACCAGAAAGACCTGGAGAGGCTGAGAGATGCCCAGAGGAAGCTGGAGAGGGACAGAGAGGCTGTGCAGCGGCAGCTCGACAAGATGCAGGAGGTCCGCATGGCTGAGGTGAGCGGGGACACTTTAAAAATCATAAAAACGATGATAACATGATCTGTTGCTCCTCCGCTACAGGGGCACACTCAATGAGCTCAGAGGTAGTCTGTGCTCAATGACACTTCAGCAAGGTTGGTGTTTATGGATTCTTGCATTGTAAGCTTGAACCTGGGTCCTCTTGAAAGAGAATTCCAAAAAGCTCTTGGCAACCTAATAACCAGCAAACAGTGCTGCATCGTAATCCAAACGGCAGAGTCATATTTGCAGCTTTTTATGCCGAAATCCTGTATATGTTAAGTTCATTTTACATCATTGAACCCTTTCCTGGAAACATTTATGCTAATCTTTTATTCACAATAAGCTGCAAAGCCATTCAAATATGGACCTTTCATACATATTGGCTCACAGATGTAGATAACAGCTGCACATGTTTCTTACCTCCCTCCTTTACCTCCAGAGGACTCCCTCTACAACGTCGGATGAATTCCAGTTCCCCGGCAGCTCCCAGTCTCTGGAGCTGGACCCGCTGGAGCTCTCCTCTTCCTCCTCCTCCTCCCTGTCGAGACTGCAGCCCCAGCGGTCTAAGCCTAAAGGAAAAGGCCTCAATCCCTTTACCTCATCCTCCACCAACCTCAAGGGCAGCGACGCCAACAACCAGCTCTCGAAGAGCCTGCTGCAGCTGGCCAAGAACAAGAGCAAAGAGGGGAAGGAAAAGAAGAAGAAGAAGGGCAAAGGAGGGAACGCACAGACTGCAGGTAGGGAATGGTGAACAAGAAGGTGGATGGATTTACATTTTAGTTTAGTTTAATCATTCAGTGAGTCAGCAGGTCTGAATTGAGTGTTTTTGTACTTCAGATTAGATGACATTTGGTTTTTGAGGAAGATAAAAAGGGATAGGAGGACATTATTGGACAGAAAAATAGATGAATACACCAAACCCTAAGCTGTTTTCAAAAACGACTAATTTAACCATGTTTGAGCGTAACGTTTCAAGAAGTGCATGCTGGGTAGACTAACCCATTGTAGATATAGTATCAGGCAAGACCAGGGGTGTGAACAGAGGTACGTATTTAGGGCCACTCAGCGTCTCTCAGGGTTGTTCCCAGTCATACCAGCCAAAACATGATGAGTGGCAACAAAATGTTATAGATGTTAAGATATTGCCTATAAAAACATTTGAATATGGATGATACTGTAGAAATTAATTAATTCTAATTATATGAATGTAAAGACCTAGCATACTCAGCAAAAACAAATATTGCTGTTACATAATTATTCAGCTGATAGTGAAGCAGTATGAAAACATTATGCCTCATTCACACATCTTAATGTTTTACATGTGGATTAAGTTCGGATCCATGCAAGAGTGTGCAAGAAACCCCAAGAAAGTTTCATGTTTTATTTCATGACAGAACATATAGAAACCTGGTATTTTCAATAAACCATCTGTATTGAATCAACATGAGACACAGTGGTGCTGTGTGAAATGAGTCTGAATGAAGCTGACGTACTTTAAAGAAATGTTGCTTTGCAAGTTTCAGTTTGCATCCTACCGCCTCTTCATCTTCTCTGTCTCCTTCATCTCGTAGTGACTGCAGCCACAGTCCACTGTGCTGTACTTTTTCCCCGAGCAGGTCACTCATTGTAATGTGCTGCAGTCTCTGCTGGGTCCTAGCATCAGCCATTTTCATGTCGTACTATATACTAGTCTTTATAGTATAACGTTTATGTATTGAGTATACAAACAATCAACATACTTGCATACCATTTTATGCTAACAGGACATAACAAAACAACAGATGAATGCCAGTTCAACTTCAACATCATAAACAAAAATCAAGGGTTTTTTGGTATGCATAGTTCGTACTTTTTTGTCACTTTGAGCACTCTACATACTTGAAACCTGCTTAGTATGTGCTAAGAATTTGGGACACAGCTTAGATTTTGTCTTTGCATTATTAAATTACTAGAAACGTTTTTTTAGGGAGAGCTTTAACAGCCTTAAGTTGGTGTGGAGATGCCTCTGGGTTGGTTCTGAAAAATATTGCAAAGTTCTTTATAGTGAAGTTTTTGAAAATGTTTCTGGGAGTCTCCCTGTGTTTGTAGAACAGCAGCACAATGAACACAATAATACATACACAGTACAGCCTGCATACAAAATACCCTTTATGAAAATGCTCAGTAAAGCGGCTTCTATGACCAACGGCACGCTGCACTGTGCTAAAGTTTGATCAGTGCAAAGCCGGGTAGTGATGCTCACTAACTTCTCCTGGAGTTACAACACATTTGCAAGAAAAAAATCCTCTTACAGGAAGAATCCTCTCTTGTTACACTGACACTGACTCCATTCTTCTCCTCCCTCCAGACCCCCAGCACCTCCCAGAATCTCCTCTGGATGGTGAGATCTACTGCTAAGAAAAGTGGCCACCTCTTCCTCATCATCAACCCATCACAGCCGTTGTGACATCCAGAGGAATGTGTTACTGCCAAGTAGTAATACATCCATCTTACATACATAATACTGCAGTGTACTACCAGGCTTTTTGGCAGCATTAAAATCACCTTGAAAGGACTTTTAGTTGGCATCATAATGTAACATTACAAGCAAGAAAAAGACAGAACATGTTTTTTCTTGCATTTTTAAATTAAGTTAGTTTCTGGAAAGTCAAATATTTTAGGCATGCATATTTGAAATACAATCATAGGCAACATGGAATAGCAGTATATTTTACCCTGTCTCCCTTTCCAAAGACTCCATGGTTACATGACAGAGGATTAATTTCTTCATTTTGAAGAATCATAAATTTGAGATTGAGTATCAAATTGAAAGCATTTCAAAGTCGATTGCCTCACAAGCTCTGCCAAGTATGTCACAGGCTTCACAGCGTCTCTGTTTCTGTTTGTTACGGGCCCAACTAGCCCCTTTTCCAACAGTCCGTCCTGTCATTAAGTTCCACACCAACTGGCTGTTATGTTCATTTACAGAAGCCTTTTCCATGTGACTCAATCCACACGCATACAAGGACACAGACTTCCCCAAAATTCCACTTGGAAACCGATATGACTGTCAACAAGCTCCATGTGGCACTGAAAGCTCCTCACTCCTAATTATCTTCATTGATAATTAATAGAAGGCTGAAACCACAGAGGAAAATGTGTCCCGTGTTTTCAGTGTTTGCTTCAGTGTTTCGTTCCACTTTAAAAGGAAATTGCTGCCTGACATTCCTTTACTCACTATTTGAAAAGCAGATGTGATTACGTCCCACTAATTTTGCTTCCAGTTTGTAAGCAAAATGGAATTGGCACGATACCTTCAGTAATCCTCTGTAACGACTTTGTGACATTAAATCATGAACCTTGGCTGGGTTTGAATATATTTAAAGTATCTAAATCTCCATTTTGGAGTGGGACTCTTCGGATGTGCGTGTCTATTTTCCAGACTCAACAGTAAAGAAAGGATTGAGACGTATCTCCCTGTGTCTAATGGCTCAATTCATATCCTTTAGTGTGTTTTAGAGCCTTAATATTATATGATATTAGCTTGATCCTCACTTTATCTGCCTGTCAATGGGCTTTTATGCAGCCCTCATCTTTCATCTGAGTGATGACGAGCAGGGCTTTCCTTCGTTTTTTAATTGCATGTAACTCTGCAGGTAGCATACTAATGGCTTCTGTCTGTTAAAGAGTACAACTTTCTCTTTGAACCTCCCTCTTTCAGTTCTGATAATAGACTCAGTAGATGGTTTTAGGAAATGGGGGCTGTTAATTTAGGGACAAAGCAGCTGGTTAGAGGAAATGAGAAAGGACATTAATTAAAAAACACCAAATGATGTTATCTGACTAAACTTTAATGACTAAACCTGCTCAGCAGGTATCGCCTGAGTCTCTGATCATTTCAAATTAATCAACACTCATCAGTGTTGTTAAGCACTTTGGTCCTGATATGTTGATGCATTTCTTTTGTTATCAGTGTGAGATATCAATCAAGGAGATCTTTGTATTCTGTGGAACTTTTTAATCGAGGGCACTGACAATGATCCAAAGTGAGATAATGTGTTAAAGGACATAAAAGATGCTGCGGTTCCATTTTATTAGTGTTTAAAATGGTAAAAAAAAAATTGGGTTGGTAGCTTTTATGTAATGTTTCTAAGGTGACCTGTCTTAATTTTTAAGCCTGTGTTTTAGCCCCGCTGAGCCCAAATTAGGGGCCACACAACTACCTGCTGGACAGGTAGGAAGTGAAAATAGAGTTAAAAGTAAAATAAACCACCTTTTCCAGTGAATTACAGAGCAGCGCCACTGAACTGCTTTCTTGCTGCCTCTTTTGTCTCGTCTTTAAGTGCTTGTTTGTTAACTTGCCGTCTGTGTTGAGGATTTGACTTCATGTCCAGGCTGGTTTATTATAGTGTGTCTTCTAAGAGGCTTACAGGCCCAGCCAATTAGTTGCTTCATGTCTTTTGTTTATGGCTTTGGTGTAATCCAGTCAAAGAAACAGAGGAATGGGCTTTTTTCCACCTGTCCCTTTAGATGTGTTTTGACCACTAGGGAGCACTGCACCTATGACTAAATTAATTCCCTCTCTCACACAACAATAACCAGAAAAGTATGAAACTATTTTTTTTAATTTCTTTTTAAATATATATATATATATATATATATATATATATATATATATATTCTCCCTGCTGTGAGAAATTGACATATTTTTCTCAGCAGGTCATTGGCGTACAGAGATAATGTGATGTGCGTGGGCTCTCACACTCTGTGACATTTTCCCCACGGCATTTGTAATTGACTGAAGAAACAAATAAGTTGTCAGAGATTGTAATTGGTTATTCAGTGAAACCAGTCAGCAGCAGCTTTAATATGAAAAAAGACGGTCTAGCGGTTTGGAGGGAGCGACCGGGCAGAACCACAAACCTCTCTCTGTAAGGGACAATCAGCAGACGCAAGTCAGGAAAATGAACTCCCTCCCCGATGATGATAGGCCTGTCCACAAGACGAGTGTGTCCATCAGGTGAACCCTGCGTAGCCTTAAATCTTAATGATAAAATGCACTAGAGTAGAACCCAGCATCTTCTCAGGAGAGAGAGGAGAGCTTTTATACCTCTGCTTTCAAACGAAGGAAATGTTTGTACTATAAAAGTGGTACAGGATAGTTTAATTCCCAACAATGTAAAAAAAAAGGGCAAAGACAAATGTAAATATGATTTATGTATAAAACAAATCAAATGTAAAAAAAATTGTGTTTGTGATTTATTGCAACATTTTGTAAGAATGTTTTATTTATGTTTTATTCTCACCCTTTGGGTGATGTAAAGTCACATTTCTCTCATAATAAAAAAAAAATCATAATGGACATTTTGAGTGTTGGTTGTTTATTTGCTGTTATCATTTGTCTCCAATAAATTAAAGACAAACATATTTTATTATATTGAGTGTTGCATTACAGTTAGTGCAACATGGATATCTGCTCCATGCATGCTCAACCTGATGATTTATTAGCCCTGGTATATATTTTATTCTAACACACATACTTGCCTATACCAGTGCTCACATCATACAAAGTACTGCCAAACATTTTGTTACTAAAACACATCACGTGTTGCACAGCTTCTCTTCAGGCTGGAATCAATATCTGTTTCAAACATGCTGCAATGTTCCAAATGATTAGTGCATGGCACTACTAGGAGGGCCAAGTCCCCCTTCCTTTATCTCTCTGTGCAGTGTGTACAGTAAATCTATACTGGAAAATTACATGGCTCCATGTTTGTTGTGTGGTAACTGATTTAATACAAACCACATAGCTGTAAAAAAAAAAAAAAAATAGTCATCCTCATTTCTGTTGATTAAAAATAGACTGATTACCTATTTAATGCATGTTTTCAACTGACTTCTCCTATCTTCACCTGTCCTATAAAATAAAAGGACCAAGAAGCCCCAAAAATAGTCTAAGTTCCAGTTACTCTAATTTTGTTTGTAAACTGGAAATATCCTTTGATTTAAATTGAAGGTCAGACAAAAGTAATTGATGAAATCTCTTCAGGAAATTCTGATGAGCATTTTTCATTATTTTCATTCATTAAAATCATTCAGCTCGTTAGTTGCAGCCCAACATTTTTAATTGTCTCACAGCACTGAATCAGCACTTAACAATCATACATTGAATCAAAGGAAATCTGATGTGACAATCAACAGAAAAACACCCATCAATGTCCTAGTGAAAAAGTCCTCATTTAATTACAAATCTAAAATACAAAATGTACGTTTGCATTAGTACTCCACTCAGTATTTAGTAGATGCACATGTGTAGACAGGTCTTTATCATTTTTGCACTAACTTTACAAAACTACTCAAGCTCTGTCAGGTTGCACGTGGATCATGAGTGAGTCAAATGCAGCCACAGATTGGCCTAAGATCCTCAATCTGACTAAACTAATGTAGGAAATGATGTTTGTTTTGTTTTTTGAAATATTTACCATATAAACACCTATCTTCAAGATAGAGCCATACATTTAGGTAACAAAGCAGGATCCATATAAAGGCCCTCATAATGAACACTGATACTGTCCAACTAAAATGACTAACTGCCACCCAGTGAACCTGACCCTGAGGGTCTGGGGCTCTCCCATGCAGTTGCTCACTTTCTCCAGCCTTGGATTAGTGCAGTTTTACTTAGGCTCCCTCCTCTTTCCTCCGTTCTGTGTTCCAGTCCTAACTACAGCAACAAAACACCTTTTTTGTGTCTGTTTTGTTCTGAATACTTTATGACATTAAATAATGAATACAATTATTCTCATGAATCCACTTGTTTTTGTTCCAGAAACAGTTCAATTGCTACTACTAGATTCTGTTAATGCTTTGATTTCCTGTTTCCATTAGCAGTGGTACTGCTGTTTGAGCACCGCTGCCAGAGGAAAAAGCTGACAAGGATCTTGATGGATTGACAGCAGTGCAGGCACACAGCAGCGTTCCCACCTCCTGATAAATAAGGAACCAGCTGCTTTAATCTCTCCACGCTGCAGACAGCGGCCTGCTCATCCCTGCAGTCTTTCGCCTCTGGAAATCTCACCTGTGAGCATTTCTTAACATTTATTTTTCTTAACTGCACGATCTTGTACTTCACGCCAGGTTCATCACATCCCATCTCTCATCCCATTTTTCCCCAGCTCTAACTCATCGATTGATTCGTGGGATCCGTTTGCAGCCCCTTTTCTAACTATTTCTCCATTCTGCTCATTCAACTTATAAACCCCCAGAGACAAAACATCAGCTGATAAGACCAAACAGAGAGTCAGTAGCCTAATGCGTTAAATTTTGTTTACCGGAGCAAAACAGTGTCGAAGTTATCCTGTCTCTTTTTAGATTATTCCCAAATCAAAGTTGTGTAGCAGCAAGTTTGTCAGCGAGATACAGTACAATGGCAGAAAGAGAGATAGCCTCATCCACCTCTGGTTGCCATGGTGATGGGTATAGCGAGGCACATGGGACTGCTGTTACAAAACGAAGTGAAGACTGAGAGACAGAGAGGGAGAGAGGAAACAAAATCATGACTGTATAATTATTGCAAATTAAAAATCCCATCATATCCTAGAAGAAGAAAAAGAGACGCTGGCAAATAAGCCTGCAAAGCTTGACTAATAATGACAAACAGTTGAGAATTCATACACTCTGATTGATTAATTGTCTGCCATAGATAAGATAAATTTGACATTGTTGAACTAATTATTGTCATATCATGATTGACTAAGTCTGTCTAACTGTTTTAAAGCAGCTGTGAACTGAGCTGCAGTCCTATAGCACTCAACTTCATCAAAGCACTTTCCAGTGCACTGATTTATCATAGCAAAAGATACATTTTTCCTAGAGGTGGTGGCTCAGTAGCTCATTCCACTCACAGGGGCAGACAGAGCTCATTAGAAAACCTGGGACATTCAGTGGAAATGAATCAGAATCAGCTTTATTGGCCAAGTATGTGTACAACTGGAATTTGACTCTCAACGTACTTACACACAGTTCCCAGAACAATTAACTAGAATATAGAAATAGACATTCAGCTACAACCAAGAACAACAAAAGCTGAACAGAGCTGGCACAAGTACACACATTCTATACTCAAGTAGACGTTCTATAAAAAAAAGACTCCGGTTAAAGTAGAAAGACTGATTCAACATCTTTACTCAATTAAAAGTGAAGAAGTACAGCTTCTGAAATGTACTCAGAGTATAAAAGTAAAAAGTACTCCCTTAGTTTCTCCGAAGGACAAAACTGAAACTTCAAATAGGGGTTGAGTCTCCCTCTCTTGTCTGTTTCGTCTTGTTACATCATTTTTGGCATATTCATGTTATGTCTGTGTGATATGCACAGGTTTTGATGTTGGGAAGGCGTGCAATGATGCAAAAATATAACAATCAGGAATTCCCCCAAAATTGATTAAAGTCACGAGAATGTTTTGAAAATGTAAGGAGAAGAAAGTACGGATATTTGTGTGAAAAGGTTGGGTCTAAAGTAAAAATAGGTACTCAAGTAAAGATACCTGGATAAACTTCTTAAGTACAGTAACAAAGTATCTATATCTGTATCTATCTTTTTTTTGTGTTAACAGATTTTTGGCCACTTGGGGGCAGTGTAAATATGTAATCTTATCACCTTATAATTGCTACCTTGTTAGCAAACAAGGCAGACATTGATCAGAGAAGGAGTAACATTCATTTGGAGTCGTGTTTCCGACCACCTGATGAAATATCTGACTGTTTAGCTGCTAACTTAAACTTTAAGTGCTAACTTTGTATGTCTGCCTCTTAGCATACATTGGGGGTTTCTTTACTGAAAACATCTGCCTGCTGCATCTGGAAACCACTTTGATGAGCGTTTGGGGACTGAACCAAAATATGGTGGGAAATGTGGGTCGCCGCTACAAGCGCCACCTTTCACATTACACATAATCATTAGTAATTAAGTAAGCAGTAAGTATTATATATCATCAGCTAAATATCCTTAAACTGTCAGACTCAAGCAGCATTTAAATGTTGTGCAGCTGGTCGGGGTGGAGCTAACTTTTGAGTATAAATTACTTTATATACTGTTGGATATTTTAGAACAACGTAGCATATTTTACACGTTTTTATGTATATTTGCCTCTGAAATGCGGTACAGTACAGCAGAAATATAAAATACCGTAAAGTGAAAAATAATCAAGTATAGTACAAGTGAGAAATTGTACAGTACAGTCCTTAAGTAAAGCTGCTCAGGTTCTGTCCACCACTACATAAAGGTTTTGAATCTTGTATATAAACATACAGTATTCTTCCAGACTGATATTCTGATATTATTCTGATGATTGATAAAAAAGTTAAATGCATTTTCATTTATTTGCCTATATTTGACAAATATGTGATATCATTGGAAATTAATAACAGTATGTACAGGTCTGTGTTGGAATAAAGTGGTATATATCAGTAATACCTTGCCCTTTCCAGAGCCACTGTGGTTTGGCCCAATTTTTTTCCTCTGCTTAAAATGTTGGGGAGGAGGTTGGACTACAATAACCCAGCTTATTTTTCCAGGCATCCTATGGCAAGTTGTTGTCATCGAGTTCCTGCTAAACTTTGGTGTCCAGGGACCAAAAAGGGTCAAAAAGCACATATAAAAACTTTATACCATTATTTTCATGGTCTGGGATAGGTGCTCTGAGCTGTGACTACACCGCTCCTGTTTGTGACTGCAGACACATAAAAACCTACAAACACACTGTCCTGGTTTTATGACATGCCTTCAGTTTTTGTTGCTGAAATAAAAAGAACAGAGAAGAGAAATCCATCTCTATTTTTGTCAGTAGCGATTGAGAAACATTTTAATGAGTATTTTTTACTATTATTAGCTTAGGTCAGTGCAAAAAATATGCAGGTATTTTCTATAATAAAGTAGGCAAACTTTCTGAGCTATTCTTCTGGACTAGCTTAATATCCTGAATTAAAAAATAAAAAACTTGTTTAACATGCAAAAGGTTGTCATGTTTAGACCTCAGGTGTGCAGTGGCGTCAGCCTCTTCATGACCCTGAATAGGAATAAGAGTGTACAGAACATGAATAATGAATAGTAGTAGCTGAGTACGCTGGTTCACCTCACACATTGCTTCCTTTTTAGGAGTCATGAGATAAAAAGTTCAAGAACAAAGAGCAGTAGTTGAGGATCAGCAGCCGAGCCCATATAAAATAACTGTGACACACACCCGCAGTGAACTGGAGTACATTCTCCCAGTGGATATTTACAGAATGCTGAGTAGATATTATTCCAGTCCTCCTAGAGGTTTGAGGGAAATCACGGCTGTGAGCAGTATCTGTACCACAGTGCGGAGAG